GCACTCCAAATTTATAAATATATTTTCTAAACTTATATTCATGGTACATGGGCATCATTAATAATTTTCTAATGATTAATTTAATTATCATTCATATACCACTTAATATGTGGATTAACCCATATAAAAATCCTATATTCTGGAGAAACATAAACATTTAAGGTCTCAAACCTAATATGTGGTTTGGGGCTCGCGGCCGGGGCTGCGAGACTCGCGGCCGGGCTGGCTCGGGACTGGGCTCGTGGCCGGGGCCCGGCCGCGGCTCAGGGACCGGGACAATTTCAAATTTTGATTATAATCTGATATAAACCGAATCTAAAAGGAACCAAATTTCAATAACAATATGATAATTAGTAAAATTCGAAAATTCGATTGTAGAGTATAATACCAAAAATTTGAAATTCGAATCACTAACGATAGACCCACGAACATTCAGAGATATAAGATATAATAGCTTTCACCTCAGTGCATCCATACAGCTTCTTCATTTGTACGAAAGCATCTTCCATTGTCACCAACGCATTAATACATCCATATTTCAGTTTCAACAATATTGGCCAGAAACAGAACATTCCCAAATGCTCCATGATAGCTTTTGCTAGTTATGTATATAATTAAGTTAACATACTCACGTAAATATAGTGTTGAGATGTTTTTCGATGTTGTAAACTACCCTTATGAATTTTTGAAAATTTTAAAACTCGTATTCATTGATTACTTATTTAAACACTCAATAACCAAATTTCAGTTCCTTTGTTCAATACACGCGGACAGCCAGTGGCGGACCCAGCCTGAAATTTATGTGGTGACATAAACCATGTAAATTATTTGAAAATAATACAAATGGAAGTTGGGTGGAATCGAACCCAATATCTGTGGGTTCAACACACCATATTCCTACCACTGCACCACAGTTGTTTATTAAGCAAACGCCTACACACTTCAATTTATAAAATTTATGTGGTGTCAGTTGATCCCATACCCTCTCAAGTGGGTCCGCCCCTGCGGACAGCTCTTCTTCATTTGTATGAAAGCATCTTCCATTGTCACCAACGCATCAATCCTCACATGATGTTTACATACAGAACACACTCATTCCATATTTCAATTTCAACCCTGACATAAGGTTGATGTGATCTAAGAGATTCACAAACAATATTGGCCAGAAACAGAACATTCCCAAATGCTCTAAGATAGCTTTTGCTAGTTATGTATATAATAATTAAGTTAACATACTCACATAAATGTAGTGTTGAGATGTTTTTTGATGGTGTAGACTAACCCTTATGAATTTTTGAAAATTTTAAAATTCGTATTCATTGATTACTTATTTAAACACTCAATAACCAAATTATAGTTTTGAAACTGTTTAACAATCTTTTTGTAAATGTTTCGTGTCCTCCTGAGGATAACATAAAAATACCCAAACTTTTCAAGGTAGTGGACTAATCTCTATGAATTTTTAAAAATTTCAAAACATGTATTTCTTGCGAGTATTTATTTAAAGACTCATTAACCAAATTATAGTGTTGAAACTATTTAACAATTGTTTTGAAAATGTTTCATCGTCTCCTGTGGATAACGTTAAATCCACCAAATTTTTCGAGGTCGTGGGCTAATAACCTCTATGAAATTTTGAAAATTTGAAAACATGTATTCCTTGCTAGTATACTTATTAAAGGATTCATTAACCAAATTATAGTGTTGAAACTGCTTAAAAATCATTTTGAAAATGTTTCGTCGTCTCGTGAAAATATAGTCAAAATCTACCAATTTTTTCGAGCTCGTGGGCTAATCCCTTTGAATTTTTAAAAATTTAAAACATGTATTCCTTACTAATATACTTTATATACAGACCCGTTAACCAAATTATAGTGTTTAAACCATTTAACATTCATTTCAAAAATATTTTGTCGTCTTAAGATAACGTTAAAATCCAACAAAATTTTGAGGTCGTGGGCTTAACCCCTATGATTTTTTTTTTGAAAATTCCAAAAACGTATTCATTGCTAATATATTTATTTAAAGACACATTAACCAAATTATAGTGTTAAATCTGATTAACAATCTTTTTAAAAATGTTTCGTCGTCTCCTGAAGATAGCATCAAAATCCACCAAATTTTTTGAGGTGGTGGGCTAACAACCCCTATGAATTTTTGAAAATTTCAAAATATGTATCCTTTCTAGTATACATTTTTAAAACCCCATTAACCAAATTATAGTGTTGAAACTGATTAACAATCTTTTAAAAAAATGTTTCACCGTCTTTTGAGGATAACATCAAAATTCACCAAATTTTTCGAGATTATGAGCTAACCTCTATGAATATTTGAAAATTTCAAAACATGTATTCTTTGCTAGTATACTTATTTAAAGACTCATTAACAAATTTATAGTCTTGAAACAGTTTAACAATCGTTTTTGAAAATATTTCGTCATCTTCTGAGGATAATGTCAAAATTCACCAAAATTTTCGAGGTCGTGGCTTATGAATTTTTTAAAATTTCAAAATATGTATTCCTTGATAGTATACTTATTTAAATACCTATTAACCAAATTAGTACTGCAACTGCTTACCAATCGTTTTGAAAATGTTTCGTCATAAAAAATCAACCAAATATTCGAGGTCGTGGGCTAACTCTATGAATTTTTGAAACTTTCAAAACATGTATTCCTTGCTAGTATATTAATTTATAGACCCATTAACAATTTTATAGTCTTGAAACTGTTTAACAAACGTTTTGAAAATGTTTCGTCCTCTTCTTTAGGATTAAAAATCCACCAAAATTTTCGAGGTCGTGGGGTAACCCTTATGATTTTTGATCAAAACATGTATTTCTTACTAGTATACTTATTTAGAGAGTTAGTAACCAAATTATAGTGTTGGAACTGCTTAACAATCGTTTTGAAAATGTTTTGTCGTTTCGTGAAAATAACGTCAAAATTCACATAATTTTTTGAGGTTATAGGCTAACTCCTATGAATTTTTAAAAATTTCAAAACTCGTATTCCTTGTTAATAAAATTATTTCAGACCCATTAACGAAATTATACAGTTGAAACGGTTTAACAATCGTTTTGAAAATGTTTTGTCGTTTCGTGAAGATAACATCAAAATCAACCAATTATAATTTGGTTATTTAATATAGTTATTGTGATTTTTTTTATTTATTTGTATAACATAAATTGAACAAAAAGAATATAGGGTACATAATTTTTTTATCAAATCTTTCTTATTTAAATTAATAATTGTCATATATATATATATATCATATTAGGTAATTTCGTAATTTTTATTTAATGAAAGAATAAATAGCGTTATAGTGATTTAAAAAAATATATTATATTTTTATATGGACCAACATTTTTTAAAAAAACCTTTGAGAAATATTTTATTGATAACATGTGTCATAGATAGAATGTTGTAATGCTTCTATTTTAATACATAGGGGATATGGTTTTTTAGTGGTACGTATCGTGTAGCCAAAGTGTTTCATTTCGAACTTTAACAACAAAAGTTTATATGACATTTCATCGACTTTATTACATATCTGCATTATTTGAGACTTTGAGTATAGCTAAATTGCTACTGTTCTTCAGAGAAAAAAAAAACGAAATTGCTACTATAATACTCCCTCTAGATCTAAAAGTATGATGTTTAAGGTTTTGCACATATATTAAAAAGCAATTAATTAATTCTTTTAGTTATTGTTTTTGGTTTTATCAGTAAAGCCTAAAACATCAATCTTTTGTATACAAGATAAAAATCTAGAACATCTAATATTTAAATACGGAGGGAGTATTATGTTTCTTTAAGTGATGGTATCCATTCTTTACTTGTCATTTATTGTTTTGTTTTGTTTTGGAGATTTTGAGGGACATGCCGGTGCTTCATCCCATTGCTTCTGCGTCTCTCTAGGGAAGCGAGAGAGTATTACTAACTAGCTTTTCGATCAGAATACTCATTCCTAGCCATTGAGTGTGATAATCCATGTGCAGTTTAATTGAAACAAGAAACTTACAAAGTTTCTCTTGACGAAGGGTTCATTGTGGTTAAATCTCCGGACATATATATATATCATCCTGAGAAACTTTAGCAAAATTTATAAGCGCTGTGAAGGATTAAGCACTATTTCTACAATTCAGCGACCTGTTTTTCAAACTGTGATAAGGTTAATTCTAAACGTGCGACGAGATGAAATGTGTGGGAATGGGATGAAAAATAACTTGAAAAAGAACCAGAATAAACAAATAAAAAGCCATCATGATGAGGAGATAAAGGGATCATGGGCTTAGACTACATTTTAGTCTTTCAATGCCATTTGAAGAAGATATGAGAAACCATTGTAGGATGAAAAAAACTTTGTTAAAAAAAACCTGCATGATTATTTCTGCACTCGCATAGAATGTTGATTATGTTCATCATGAAGCATATGCATATTTTTTCTAGTGTGATACAACATGCATTACACATTTACATGCCCATTCACTTAATTACTCTTGACTTCTAGCTCGTGTGAACTCTGTCACCTTGACTCTCTCGATTTTAAATACTGTGTAGTATTTTTTAGTGGTTGTGAAAACTTGAGCCTAGATGCTGCACACGGTGTGCTTATATAGAAGTAATACGTTCATCATTCACACTAGCATATCCCTTGTCACCATAACCAATACAGGAAAAAGTAACAAACATGTGTTCGATTTGTGACAGACGCATTAGCAAATTCGGGCTGTGATGAAATGCAACTTTATTTTTGTGTATAAGATGAGACACATGAATTATAAACATTTGAATCAAAGCTCCCATATTGAATGTTTAATTAATGAATATTTAGTTGTGATCAAGATTCAAAGAGAGAGTATATATTTGTGAAATTTTAAGAAAATCAAGTCGTTTGCTTTTTTTTTTTTTTTTTTTTTTTGCAGTCAATAACGTTGACTTGTTCTCCTCTCTTTAGTCGTCGTCTTCTTCATCTTCCAACTTTTATTTCCAAATTCATATCAAAGACCCTTTCATCTAATTTTTTTTTTCTTTCCTTTCAGTTCCCAAAACCAGTTTTATAATTTTAACTCCTTCGTTTCGCCATTCTGCGGAAACAGTTTTTTTTTGTTTGCCTGTTTATGAACTCAAAAGATCTCAAAGGTGAGTTTGTGATCTTCTCCACCAAGTTACTTTACGAAAGTTCATACTTAGCTCGAAATCTAAGTTTAGGAAAGAAAGGAAACGTTTTTTTATTCTTTTATGTTTTCTTATAAATTTATTAACTTGCGATTGCTTGCTTGCTTGCTTGCGAGTTGCAATAGCTCGAAATTTAGGGTTTAGTTGTTGCTAAATTTGGGGGTTTTCTTCAATCTCTGATCTTTGTACTATTCATAGGGTTTCCCTGATGCTTACAAGTTCCAGAATTTCGCATGTGCTGTTGATTAGTTTGATTTTAAAGATCAGATCAGGAACAAGTAACTAATGCATTTGGTTTAGTTTAGTTACTTCTATTTGGTTCTGTGTGTTTGTAATATATGGTCAAGTTGTCTGATTTCCATTACCATATGTTCTGTTTTTGACTCTTGTCTTTTTTTTTTTTGGTTTCAGTGGAGAAGCCAAGTGGTTGTTTTCATCTCCTTGGGAGAATGAAATGTTTCTTATTCCATCACGGTGACAACAAGAGAGATGAACAGAAGAGCCCTAAACCGCTCTCACCACTCTCTGACCGTGCTACTGGATTATTCAGTCCCCGTGATGGCTCTGGAACAAGCACTGTTTCTTCATCCACTGGGAGGAACTCCAACTCCTTGCCCGTTAGAGAGAACAACCTCAGAGAGTTCACCATTACTGATCTCAAAGCCGCTACAAAGAACTTCAGCCGCTCTGTTATGATTGGGGAAGGCGGTTTCGGTTGTGTCTACTGGGGAACTATCAAGAGTTTGGAAGACCCTTCCAAGAAAATCGAAGTTGCAGTGAAACAGCTTGGCAAGAGAGGGTTGCAGGGTCATAAAGAGTGGGTGACGGAAGTGAACTTTCTAGGGGTAGTGGAGCATCCAAACTTGGTGAAGCTTTTGGGTCATTGTGCAGAAGATGATGAACGTGGAATCCAAAGACTCTTGGTTTATGAATACATGCCTAACCAAAGCGTTGAGTTCCACTTAGCTCCACGTTCACCCACTGTACTTACTTGGGACCTCAGGTTGAGAATAGCACAAGATGCAGCTCGTGGTTTAACATACCTCCATGAAGAAATGGACTTCCAAGTAAGATACATGAAGCAGTCCTCTGTTTTCTTTTCTTTTCATCGGATAAACTATAAACTTGTTTTGATTTTTGTTAGATAATATTCCGTGATTTCAAGTCCTCCAACATTCTCTTAGATGAGGATTGGAAAGCAAAGCTTTCGGATTTTGGTTTAGCTCGTTTAGGTCCTGAACCTGGATCAACTCATGTTTCAACTGGTGTAAGTCTCTTTGTACATTTCCACTTGAATTTGGTTAAATACAAATCATTAAGTTAATACTTTTTTTTAATGGGTTTAACAGGTGGTTGGAACAATGGGTTACGCAGCTCCAGAATACATCCAAACAGGTCGTCTCACATCAAAAAGCGACGTGTGGGGTTACGGAGTATTCATCTACGAGCTCATTACAGGAAGGAGGCCACTAGACAAGAACAGACCTAAAGGAGAGCAGAAGCTTCTTGAATGGGTGAGACCTTACTTAACTGACACAAAGAAGTTTAGGCTCATTATAGACCCAAGGCTGGAAGGAAAATACTTGATCAAACCAGTACAGAGACTAGCTGTTGTAGCCAACCTCTGCCTTGCTAGGAACCCAAAGGCACGTCCAAAGATGAGTGAGGTGTTGGAGATGGTTACAAAGATTGTGGAAGCTTCTTCTCCTAGAAGTGGTGGTGCCAAGAAGCAGCTGCTTCCACTAAGGAGTCTAAATGCTTCTAGAGATGAGGAAGAGAAGAACAAGAAGGTTGTTGATGGTGGGGAAGGAGGGTGGTTGGAAAAATTATGGAACCCAAAAAATGTGAGAGCTTGTTGATTCGGAATACAAGTACACTACAACATATTCAATTTTTTTTTCTGGTTTGTTAATTTAATATTTGTAACTTAACAGTGGTTGTGTTGTTTCTATAATCAGGCATATAATAAACGATTTTTTTTTTCTAGTTATAAAACATATTCACTTTTTTCTGGTTTGTTAATTTAATATTTGTAATTTAACAGTGGTTGTGTTGTTTCCATAATGAGCATATAATAAACGAATTAATATTTTTTTAGTTAGAAAACATGTTCAGTGATAATTTTCCTGACATTTCACTGGTTCCTTTTAGTATTTAGGATTTTCTTAAAAGTAGTTGTGTCAATGCTATATTTGTTCTTGTTTTACATTTTAAATGTTTTACTAAAAATATGAAATTATACCAAAACTTTCTATGAAATATATGAGTTCCATGTGTTTATCAATCAAGAACCGGATGTAAAACAATAAGCTCTGTGTTTATTTTAAACCCAAAAAAAAAGCTCTCTGTGTTTACCAATCAATAGTCAATTGTACTTTTAAAGTTTAAATTTAAATACATAACTAATTTAAATTAAAATATGAATATTTTTTTTAAATAAGAATCTCAGTTTAGCATTTTCGCGGCTAGATGTGTTCTACTTAAAAGAACAAAAGAATAATTTCAAAAAAAGTAATCTGAATTAAACCTATAAGAGTATCATTAACTCTAAGAATCCATTTAAGGTTTTTAATTTATTTTTTAATCTATTTTAAAAAACTAATTATAGACCGCCACGTATCAGTAGAGCATACAATTAGTAAAAGATTTACTTCTTAGATGAGAGATTTAAGAGTTGGTTTTTAAGAAAATAGTGAAGTCCCTTGCTAATACTTGTGCTAAGAGACTCCTTTAATAATGCTCTAAATAGCTTAACATTATGGTGTAGAAATCAAATATGCTTGCTTTTATGTGTAAAATAACAGTGAAAAGAACACTCGAGAGCTAATGATATCAATGTGTCAAATAATAGTTAAGTTTAAGAAAATTTTCATACTGAATCTAGTTACAAACTGTTAAAACATTATGTATACTAGATCCTTTTTCCGCGCTACGCGCGGATAATTACTTTTAGAAATTTACAATTAATTTTGTTGTGTAATATAAAATATTGCAAAAGTTTCATATGTATATAAATTATTAATTGTTAAGAGATTTGAGACTGGAAAGTAAACAAACATTGCTCAACTTCAAATTTCAAAAATACCCGTTTAAAATATAGGAGGAATGATTGTTTTTTGAAAAGAGGAGGAATGACTTTAATAAAGATATTCTCATCAAAAAATAATTTTATAAAACCTAACTTGTTAAAAAATGTACATTTTATCATAATTACTCACTTGAAAAAAGATCAATAACACCGCATGTTGCATATCTAATTTTGTTGTCGTCCCATTCTTGAGCTCATTTATATACTTCACATCTCTCTATAGTTAAATTTGAATTGATCGGCTAATACATCTCTACGACTCTACCCAACACGAAAGAAATAACAAACAAAAAGCATCACACACAAAAATTTCGAGCTTCAACGTGTTATATTATTTCATGTTTTCTTGAATTTATGAAAGGCCGTTTGGAATTTAAGGAGCGCTAGATATTGCAAGTATGCAATTCTGTTAATTTCGCCTTTTTGAAAAAGTGAGAAGTTAGAAAATATATATATATATGAATATCTATAGTTTATATTTAGATTTTAACAAATTAAGTTTTTCTTATCCATATCTTTAATCAACTCATTTACCTGTGTTTTAAAAAAAAAAAATTAAATTAAGAATTTTTATATTTATATTTAAATATATGTTATATATATAGTACTAATTAGAAAAGCATAACTTGGTAGATTTAAATTTGTTTGATTTATTAATGTTATTTTGTCTGGAAAATTTAGAATGATAAGAACTCACAATTAATTGGTTTTATCTATACTATTTTATAAATTTTTGTTGTAAGTTGATGTTTTATGTATATAATAAAATAGATGTCAAAAGAAGAACTCATTATTTGTTATAGTTTTATTATTGGAAGCATATATGATGAGAAATATAAGTTAATCAAACTTTAGTCATAATCTATGTACTCTTAGTCTTAGATAATTTAGCCTTTTATATACCAAAATTTGTAATGTTATTTTCAAAATATAAAAAGAAATTGTAATGAAGCGAGTGATGTACAAAAATCTAAGTTGGAATCATTTTTGTTTTATTTGCTCAAGTTCAGACACTTCCAAAATAACACGCCTTGTGTTGCAACACTACATATTTTATAGCTTAGAGAGTCCCTGTAATATCTTCCAAGATATTAAAATAGGTGAACTTATTCCTTTCAAAGTTGACAAAAGTATAGAGTGGAAATAAGAACTGTTTTTTTATAACACTTAACTTTATTAACTTAAACTGAGTTTAACTTAACCCTTGGAGTGGTAGTGTGAAGCTACTAACAATTATCACATCCACTGCACTGAAAAACATTTCAAAAATGCCTCTTTCTATAAGTTGAATAATCACCAGATGAGAGAGATAATGGAATCCCTTTTTTCATATTTCTGATCGTGTGAATCTCGATACAATGAACTACAATAAAAAAAAAACATGAGAAACCTCTGAAATCAAATCAAGAATCAGGAGCCTACGTGTCTATTATGTAACCATGTGGTCAAGATATTACTATTAAATGTAGCCATGTGGTCATCGTAGGGGAGTCCTGACCAGTGAGTGGTTGTTTCTGATCATTGCCACGACGCATCTGCCTTATTTTTCAACGTACCTTAACTGTAAGCATTTGCCTATTGAAGCAAAAATGTCAAAGTGATGTTATCGTCATAAAGTGATAATCATTCATACCACATCCAATGAGCTTACAAACAAAAAGTTTGCGATATTAAGACAAAGATTAAAGAACCTACGTGACATGAACATCGAGAATAAGTAAGACACTCTGATCAAATCGGTTAAAACAACTAAAATGGTAAGGATCGATTGTTGCATTAAGAACCCAAACAAAAAAAATCCTTACCACAGTCGCAAAAACGCAACTGAAAAGCAGTAAACTACGTAACGGAAGGTCTAAAAATGTAACTTGACTGCTCTCTTGACTGTCGGGTGTGCCGTGTGGACTTTTTTTTCCGGGAGGGACATTAAAATCACGTGGTGTGCTTCGTTTTCTGCGTTTGATCCATAAGATAATATAAACACCATAAGTAAATAACATGATTTCCTTTTCTTTTGGTAGCAAGTTTCTAACAAAAGCATGTTGATATAATTCTAAATCAAGGACTTTCAAAACTTTAACCAAAGGTCCACCACGTAATTAAATGTAGCTGCAAAAGAAAATGCTCTTAGTTATAGGCATTTTTTGCTCATCTGTGACACAAAGAAGTAGAAAGAACCAACAATAAAGGGGTCATATGCATGTTTATGAAGATTAATAGTATGTACATATACATGAGGATATTATTACCAGTTCCTTCAATAGCAGCTGCTACTGATTTATCAAGGTCACCAGAGTTCCGAATACATGTTGTGCAACCGTATCCCACAACTTGGAATCCTTGCTTGTTCAAGTCCTCTCGGAGTCCACTGCAGAGAAGGTAAAGGTTCAGTATATATGTTCCATGATCACATAAGACATATAGATGGAAATATCACTGACTCCAACACACCTTTGGTCCAAATTTTTTTCGACAACTCTGGAACCTGGAGCAAGACTTCTCTTAACCCATCGTTTAACCTAAATCATAACGTCAAAAAAGCATTCAAGACATGATCCAAAAACCAGGCTATCTTAGGGTTAAAGTCTCGGAGAAAAGTAGGAAAAATATATAGAACCATGAACTTAGATAAGCTTCTTCTTGAGAAAGAAGCATTTGAGATGCCAAACTTGAAAAACTGACACGATAAGGCAGAGCCCTAAAGACACAAAGCTAAGTTGCGCAACTCTCTTATTAGTCTTCTCATTTATCTCCCTCATAGATGCTTCCCTGCAATTTTCATAATTAAGAACACAACACAAAAACAAAACAAAATCCATATATCAAGAAATAGAAATGAACTATTAATTAGTTAGTAATCAATTAAGAATTACCTCGATATTTTCTTTCTTAGCAACAGCATCCCAGTCAAGACTGACGATAGCAGTGCTGTTATCCACTTTGTAATGTGTCTGATCGTGATGCATCCTTAAACATGCTAAGTATGTTCCGCTCTCGCTCGTTGTAACCGCAAACAGCCTTAAGAACAACATTCTAAACCACAAATCTATAATATTGAAACGTACCCTCTTCCCAAAAAAAATACACTTTTGATGTGCTGAGCACCAAAATCATGAGGAATCCCTATCTTTAATAGAAGAAGTTTGAAGCATTTTGTCCACTATTCTTGTAGAAAATTTCCCATCTTTCACAACAACCTCAGAAGCTTGCCTTTTCATATACACCAAGCATAATCATGACAACAAAAATAAATAGATACTAACCAGACAAAAGTACTTAATGCATTGTTGCGCAAGTTTCAATCAAGACACTTCTCCACAAAGGTTACTTCTTTCCCCTTGCCAGTATCAAACCTGAAACATTTCAATCAAACACACATCTAAGTTTTTTTATTGGCTCACATCTTTTGACATAAATGGATAAAATGAGTCAGTGAGAAGGAGTTACCAGTAGAAGGGTCTCTGATCTGGCAGTGGAGCTACTTGTAGTAAAAATGAAGGTTGTGTCCATACCAATGTCTAAGGTCACAAACCTTTACCAACCTTATCTGCTCTTTTCCAAGGTCTAGAGTCTAAACCCCACCTGGAATTCACGGTTTCATGTCTCTCAATATCAAAGAATGATATATAACTTCTCTTTAACTCACCAAATTCTAAGAGTTTCTGCCTATGATGGAAACAAAGGGGATGCAACATAAGATCGCGACAACACAATAACACCAGAAATTATCCTTCAAACATAAATACTCACACGGACTGGAGATGTACCAAATTTAGGGGATCAGAAAAGATAGGACTTGTAACTTACACATCTGTTTGTTGGATTGAGATCGTGAGTATTTCAAGTGAGTGATTGTTAAACCCTTGTGTTATGTTGATGATCAGCCTTCTTTCCTCTTTATCAGTTTGGTTATGTTGGCTCCAGCCTCCCTGAGACGAAGAGATCTTGGTTCATGTCTTAGTCAAGGTACTGTGAAATATGATGGTGTACATAACTTAATATAACTCAATATCCACATCCACCAGGAAACAAACAATAATAGACAGAAAAAAATTATATCTACAAATGCAATCAGAAATCAAATCATATAGTCGACACAAAGCATCAAAAATATTGTATACTCCCACCTTTCCGGTGGATTTATCAGACTATATGGTTATAGCATGGTCTCTTTCTGTGGAGGTTTCCGGTTTGATCAGTCTGTAACAACGATTACAGGAAAAGAAGACGTAGAAGACGGAGAGGAAGAGTCGTATTGTTTAGGAAATTAGGTATGGCTTTTACATGGGCCATGATTTAATTTTTAGAGACCAACGTAGAAAACCCACTTAGTAGAGAAAGTTATTGTGACGTGGCAAAATACTGTTTTCTGATTGGTTTGAATATTTTATCCCACGTGGACATGCTAACTGATGAGGATATTCCCCTTTTAATAGTGTTAGATTTATGCAAACTTAGTTATAAAGCTTAGATCTAGTTATATTATATTTTACCAAAAAAAACTAGTTATATTATATTTAGATAATCGACCCTTGCTGCATCCCAAAGCATGTAAGTTTCTTGTATCTGTTGGATGATACGATACGTACCATTCTCTTATACAAGCACGTTAATCTCACAGTACTTTGTTTGGTACTATATAATAAAATCAACATTTTATTATTCTCTTAGATTTAGAATTACATATAAATAACGTATCAACTGTAACTAGCTTTCTGTATCTATTTATATGGCATGGTAGGTTTGAACATAGTAGATAAGAAACAATACATTAATAGATTTGGTTCTCAATTATGCATTGACCCTTTTGAAATGGACCGTTTTAGTTATACTATTCGATAATGGATATGTAACATATATTATATGATGCAGATATGGTGATTGACAAAACAGTGTTGTTAATGACCACATCAGCATAATCTTCGCAACGACTAAATTTTTTAAAGTACATAAATTAGTAAATTACACAAGAACTGGCTTTTGAGTTTCTCAAATCACTCATGACCCATGCCACATAATTAAAATAGAGAAAATACTGTAAGATAGCACTAATTTTTTTATTATAAAATATCTCTTAAAGATTAATATAACAAAAATAAATTTTATTAAAGAGATAAAACACATTTATACTTTAGGATTAACTAATTTATATTTAGAGTTTCGATTTTTAGGATAATATTTTAGAGATGGCAGTGGGGTTTATATTTTAAATTTTGAATTTATAATCAAAATTTTTAAAAGAGTTTTGATTTTTAAATATTTTTATAAATATGTAAAAATCGAGTTTTGCATATTAAATAATAAATTTCAATTTTTATTATTGCTTGTTTAAATATGTATTTATATTATATAGTAGAATATAATTGTTATTCATCTAATAAAACATCTTTTAATCATTTTCTTTATTATATGTTCTTTTGGTTTAGAAAAACATATTTCTTAAGATTTGCCTATTAAATATGTTGTATTATTACATGCTGGTTCACAATAAATTAAGAACGATTTTCGTCTTTTTTTTACAAATAGTTTGACTCTTTTATTTCAGTTGGCCTTTTAACTCCATGTTACTTAATACGTTTTTATTTTACTTAATATGTAATTCCTTACAGCATGAATTTTTCAACCTAGGCTTCCTGAAATTAAGCCTATACTACTTTATTACTTCTTTTAAATAAACTAAAGAATTCACAAAAGCATCCATATAATTCACCGCCAGAACATAGAACCTAGTTCACTAGTTAAGACCTACGTAACTTTTAACAACACAAAATGAAACGTTAATTTTTAACATGTTCCCAAGAATAATGAATTATATACATAATACTGTACATTGTACAATTTGTCGATGCGTATTTACGTGAATTTTAATTTATTCGATGGTTTTGAAATTCAACAACAACAGTGATAGCCACGTGGAATTCTTAACCTGCCTGATACACATTAATTATTTCACCTATTCGCGCCGAATATGATTGGGAAACTTTAAACTATACAGCCATGTGTTATTGGACCCATTTGCCTCTTTAAGAAATTTTCGACATTTAAGCCTAACACTAAAGTTAACTATTGCATTAGCATGTCAATCCTTCACTAAAAAGCTCATCAACAACGATAAATTGATTGTCTGGGGATTTGGTAAAGAGCCGAAAATGTTAAAGAAAACCATGACTCATCATGTATGAAAAATAAACATAATCTGTATAGATTACACTTTGATTCTGCGCTTCCTAATTTATACTCCCTCTGTTTTAATATAAGTGTCACTCTACAGTTATGTACACGGATTAAGGAAACAATTAATTTTACATATTTCCTATATAAAAACACAATTACCCACACACCTAACCATATTTTAACCAATAGAAAAACAAATTACATAATAAAATTAATAAATTTTGCATTGAAAACCGAAAACGACACTTATTTTGTAACACAAAAAATTCTCTACAACGACACTTAATATAAAACGGAGGGAGNACGGATTAAGGAAACAATTAATTTTACATATTTCCTATATAAAAACACAATTACCCACACACCTAACCATATTTTAACCAATAGAAAAACAAATTACATAATAAAATTAATAAATTTTGCATTGAAAACCGAAAACGACACTTATTTTGTAACACAAAAAATTCTCTACAACGACACTTAATATAAAACGGAGGGAGTAATAAATGATGAAGGATTTTTGTACATTTAATTGGTAATTTTCTTTTACGTTTACATAATAAATGAACAAGCTGTATTATTGGTAGGCCTCATTGGAAAATGTTATTACAGGCTTCACAAGAAACAAAATAGTACAGTAAAAGAATAAAGAAAAAGGAATCTTAAAAGAATGAAGAAAAATAATTAATATACCTAATAAAACCATGACCGTTTCATATTAATGATCCAACGGCTACAAGTTCTCATGACCGGAGAGTTAAATCACAGAAAAATCAATATAAAATGTCGAGTGGCATTTAGCGCGTTTTCTCATTTTTTTTTTAATTTTTCTGTGTTTCTTTCTCGAATCAAAAAAAAAACGAAGAACTTTATTTTTTTTTTGGAATTTGAATCAATCTCGATCCTTTTTCTGGGCTCATCATCCTACCCCCCTCAAAAATCCAGTCTTTTCAGAAGAGAAAGTGTTTAAAAGAAATACCCATTTTGAGTTATGTTTATTTCCAACCTAAATTCTCAATCTTTCAAAGTATTCTACTTTTAGTAAAAAACGATTCCGTCTCCGAGTTGTAGTAGTAAGTGAAAAAGGTGAGAGTTTTCTTCACTTTCTGATCTAACTTCCTTCTCCTTTCAAAACCCATTTCTTTTCTTAGATCTATAATCATTCTTAATTGATTGTACACTTTCATCTCGGCGATTTCAAAAGCTTTTTTAGTGAGTTTTTTACTTTCTAATTTTGGAGTTCATAGCTATGTTGGTGATAATGACTTTAGTTACTGTGTCTAATTTAGTGAAAACGAAAGTTGATTGGAAAATTGTTGGTTAACATTGTTCTGTAATACTTTTGGTGCCATTTTGGTTGAAAAGTCTCTATTGTTTACTCTTAGAGACGTCTCCCATGAGTTACGCAACTAAATTGGTCAAATATTCATTGATTTTTGGAGTGTGTATTAAGTTCTAAACAAGTGTATTTGATTTGTTTATGGTTTAGAATTATAATTCTTGATAAAAAAAAGTTTCAACATTTTTTAATAAACTTCTTTCTTTGTTATAGCAGAGATGGTGTCACATGAAGAGAACACAGGTATAGTGGAATGGTTTCTTGGTCCTAATCCATTCACGTATCCTCCTTATGGCGTTGAGATGATTCATGAGGAAGAAGACGAAGCTCATCATCATCATAATTATCATCATGATCAGAGCGATGAGTATTACAGAGAGTATGAAGAAGATCATCGTAGCAGCAGCGATGTAGATAACGATGAGATCATTGCAAGAACACTCCAAGACGATTTTTTGCAGCTTCAGATTGCAGAAGAAAGTAATAATAACGATTATTCAAATCAACAACATCAACAAGAAGAAGGTTATACTAATAACTATAGCAATAATAATAACGAATATGGTTGGAATGATCAAGCAGCTGTGGATTACTCTTCAGGTTATTACTGAACAGTCTCTTCTCCTTTGGTTTATGTTTTGAGGTTTGGATTACAAATTAATAATGTGTGTGTGCTTTGGTGTTGTAGAATGGGTAGGAAATGAGAATGATCAAGACGATGATTCAGCTAATATATATTCGTGTTCAAGCCCGAGTGATACAGATGAGTATGTGTACTCGTGGGAATCAGATCAGTGTGAGGCTGATGGTGAATTCGGAAGGAGGTTGAATCAGATGGTTCCTATCCCTGTAAGCACCAAGAAAATATGTTATAACTTTGTTGGCAATATGTTCAATCAATTTGACCAATAGATCATAACATATAAATACAGTATGTACCAAAAATAAATGGAGAAATTCCTCCTGAAGAAGAAGCAGTTTCAGATCATGAAAGACTTCGGAATAGGTATTGTAGTATATATATATGATTTCTATTTTTATAAATCATTCTTGATTCCATTATTGTTTCAGGTTAGAGCTGTTTGACTTTGCAGAGGTCAGAGTTCCAGGAGATGGTAATTGTCAGGTAAACTTCTACTTCATCTCCGTAAGCAGATCATCTCGCAAGAACTAGACTTTACTCAGTCATTATTTCTCTTTTTTTATTACAGTTTCGTGCATTAGCTGATCAACTATACAAAACCGCAGATCGTCATAAACATGTTAGACGACAAATTGTAAAGCAGGTTTGATGACTATTTTGCTACTCATGTATCTTTAGAAGTTCTCACAAATCATATGAGCTCATTTTTCTGTTTTATGCAACTTTTCAATTCTTGGTTTAGCTAAAATCTCGTCCAGATTCTTATGAAGGATACGTGCCTATGGACTTCTCTGAGTATCTAAAGAAGATGTCTCGGTAACAATCTTCTCTTCTCCTAGAAACTCCCTAACTGCATTTCTTGAACCACAATTTTTTGTTAAAGCCTTTAGTATTCAACTTTGAACCCACAGGAGCGGTGCGTGGGGTGATCACGTTACATTACAAGCAGCTGCAGATGTGGTATATATATTCTCACTCAAACTTATGAACTTGTCTTCTTATCATTAATCCGCAATTAAAAAGTTTGGTGATAACTTTGAACTTCTGCAGTATCGGGTGAAAATAGTAGTACTAACATCGTTCAAGGATACATGTTATATTGAAATTCTTCCTACCTCTCAAGAATCCAAAGGAGGTACAAGAGTTTTTAAATCCACTTTATACTTTCTGCTTGTCTTCTTGTATATCAAGTACTGTTATTACAGTGATGACATGTTATTTTACCTGTTGTCACTGCAGTAATTTTCTTGAGCTTCTGGGCAGAGGTTCATTACAACTCTATCTACTTGAACGGAGGTACATTGTACTAACCAGAACTCATTTTGACAGACTGTTTTGCTTATTCATCTTGATTCATGAAGAAAGATGAGATATTCTTGTTGATATTTTTTTGTATGTGTTCAGATACATCTGCAACAGAGCTACAAAGAAGGAGAAAATGGTGGCGTTTTGGGAACTAGATAGAGCCTTGGGGAACCCCTAGCTAATCATCAATCAGTTCATCACTGAGAGTTCATATTATTAATATTTATTGACATGAGGATGTCCTTTTGAAAAAGCCGAGAGAAACAAAGCTCACAGCTTCAAAGTCTTACAAATAATATTGATTTCTTATTTGAAAGAAAGATTAAATTCTCTGCAGCTAACAAATTTTAAATACACTACATTTTGATCTGCTTCCCAAGACTGGCATCACCGTCATGTTAGATTCAGAAACAGAGGACTTACATTATGTAACAAATAAATGTGATGAACTACGAACCAAACCAAAGAATTGTAGAGGATAGTCCCCTACTCTATCAACCCTTTAAATTAATTTTCTGTGTTATTAACTTTTTTTACTGCTATTAGAGGATATTCCTCTAAAAATACGTTTCATTTGTCATATTGTATATTTTCATTGTACGACTAATTTTGTTGTGTATATAATCATATATATATATATATCATATCACACGTTACGAAAATGCTTTATATATGTATATTTATTTCATTAAAGCATTTACTAAATCATATCATACGTATGTTTCTCTCAGCTATATATGCGTGTATTAAGGGAATTGATCGGTAGAAGACATGCACGGTTACGATTAGCTTAATCTGTTCTTACTAGCTTTTGACGAGTGTGAAATAAACCAACAACTGTATTCACGAAAGGATCCGATCGATAACACATTACAATCAATTAATCAATTATTCATTTTCTGGTCATGTTCAAGACTATCTCGAATGAGTGATTTTTATTTAAAAAAAATGATTATTGGATCAAGAGATATTTTGTTGGTTGCAATATCATCAGCATTGGATCAAGAGATATTTTGTTGCTTTTGTCATAGACATGACTTAGACTTGCAAAAAGGATAAAGAAAAAATTGTATCGTAATGAAAGCTGTGTTTTCTTCCAAAACCTGCTTTGCTCTTCGTTAAATAAGTAAATTTACTTCAAAAAAAAATACAATTTCCCTCAGTTTTTGTTGTGGCTTCTGATAAACCCGGAGACGAATGGAATACTCTAATAATCCTTTTATGCATTCCATTGTCGTGCCTTCTGCTTACTGTAGCAATCCTTTGCTGCTGTAACAGACAGGATCGTAGGGTTAACCCTGCTCCCCCATAAGATGAAGGAGAAGAAGGCCGCCACGTTTAACACAGGTTTTTCAAGTCCTTATATACAATATATCTATAATAATACATTTCTGTATTGGACATATATATTTACGGAAAGTGAAGGATAGAGATATATCTAAATAATAGTCGAGACCGAGGAGAGCTGGAGCTAATTAATTGGGCTTTGCCCGATCTCTTAGTATATATTTTCTTGAAACCACACAGCACACAAGGTTGAAACAATGGTTGCACGTGAGTCTAAACCACACAGCACACAAGGTTGAAACAATGGTTGCACGTGTGCGACCAAGTAATTTGAAAAAGTCAGAATGTCTTTATAATTTTGAATTTGTCTTTTATTAGCAATATATTTTTTTTTTGGGTCAAAGTATTAGCAATATATAAGTTGTTAAGTTTCTTTTGATATTGTCGACGTAGTTATATCAATTTAGAGTGGAAAAATTTAAACCTACAAAATTTATGTATTCAACTATTCACACAAATTTAGGTTTTATGGGGTATTTGATTTGTACATATGAAACAAATAGATACAATAATAAATAAAATAAATAAATAAGTATAACCTAACTTTTAAATAGAAAAGTTCAGTAATGGGAGATGCAAAAACAAAGCAGAGCAAAATATGGGAAAGGGGAAATACAATTGTCTACACTCTACACCTCACACATGTAAGACCAGGCAGCGAGGTCTTATTTGAGTTTCATGGAACACAACTACACAATAAGACATTTATGTTCGCAATTAAAGGGATTATACATTTGTCTTCAGTCTACACCTTACATGTAGCGATCAGCGAGTTCTTATTTGATTTTCATGGAATACAACTACACAATAAGACCTTTCTATTTTTGCAATTACATTTCCAGCTGTACAAATCGACCATACGGGGAAACTCGTGCCGTGTCATAGACAGAGACCAAAAAAAAATTGAAATGTGGGCCTGACATGGACCGGTTCCACTAATTATAACATGTCAACATAAAACCCCACACCATTAATCATACATCAGTTATCATCAACTCATCATGGCTCATGCTCATTCATTTATACAATATTCACAACCACAAATGTATTCAGTGTAAAAGTTTCTGAACGGCATCTAATCAGTTGTCATATTATTAAGGATGGAGAAGAGATTAGCAAACAAATAATATATGCAACAAACTGAATGGTAGTCGCTAACGCAAGTTTAAGAAAAAAGTTGTAATTGTTTTTTTTTTTTTTTTTTTATGTCACATTTAAAGCTGAGTCAGGATATGGCATTTTTAGTTAATGGTTACCTCATCATGTTTCGTGATGCCACAATTATTTTTATAATGTCGCTGACGGGTCTTCTTTATTTGAATTGTAATTTTATCTATGGCATTATTATATGTGTAAGTGCTGGGTTAGGTTTTCGCATCAGCAAATGATTTGGAGAAATTTTAATGTATAATTTATGATCATATGTTATCTCTTGGTGGAGCTCACGGTATAACCTTAGAGATAGAAGTACTGTATTCCAGTTTAAGATCTCCAACAATCATGCAAGAACGTTAAAGTACATATTCCTGATGCAATAAGGTAATATCCTTAATATTAATACATATTGCGATTTGATGTATTATACGATAAATGTTATTAACAAAATTCAACCTCAAAAATTATTTCATACCTAACATCCACAAATAACGTCTCCATCGACTCTTCTTTTTGGCCATATTAAGACGAATAAGACAAATTAATTTGTTTCAAATTAATACAATCATATGCTCATTTTTGTTTTGGACAATAAAATCACATCCTCATATATACTTCTAAATACATACGATTTTCTTTCTTATATGTATCTTCGAATGCAAGTTGTATGAGTCTTGTCTATTTATATAAACATTGCGTTAGAAGTCCACCTATTCAAAAGAAAGACCAGTGGGAAACGAATTATTCTTCTCCCGTTGTGATATTTGATTTGAAATGCAGTAACCACTTCCTATACGACTCTCTTTTTGTCGTTTGCATTATCAATGTTGGCTATATATATGTCTTCCATCCACAATTTAAAATAAAATACGACTTGATCATATCATTGTATTTATAAATAAAACTATTTAGAATGAGTCTTAATTAAGACATGGAAGTAGTTGTAGTGATCTTTATTCTTTTGTAAAAGACCTTCATTTCCATTCTCTTTATTTATGTTGAATGTGGTGGTGGACCGTTCACTTTCAAAACTTTTATCAATGCTTTTCTTGAAGAGAAATTCTAACAAAGCAAAGATAAACGTTCTCATAATAATCAGTTAAATTGGAAAAAAAAGGTTATAGAACAGAGGAGGATTCTTCATTTTAACGCTTTGTTTATTGATAATGATGTAGTAGGACCTATTACAAGAATATGACAAAAGAAAAATGAAAAAAAATCCGGAAACTAGCAAAAGGACTCAATCTTATAATAGAAGAAACTATATCTATATTAGTCAATAGAGTAAACCAACCAACATATAACACACGCCTCTCAAAAACCGGTTCTAAACCGGCCAATCTCACGGTTTTAGTATTACAAATTTTGTCATATATACCATTTCGCTCCCTATATTCCTTTATTATTTACAATCACCTCACTCACATAATAGAACAACCATTTGGATTCTCATCACTAAACATCTGAGGAGCACGCATATGAGCATAAGGATCATAAGGATCTGCATATCCTTGGTAATTCATATACGGTTGTGGTGGTGGCGATTCTTGTCCATACCCTTGACCGTAACCTTGATTCGTATACGATTCTTGTACGTATCCTTGGTTAGTATACGGTTCTTGTACATAGGATTGAGATGATGATTGACCTTGCATCATGTAGTGTTGACCGTACACTTGTTGTCCTGGTGGGTAGTAATACATTGGCTGAGGTGGATAACCATAACCACTATACTCTGATTTTTTCACATCCACCGTAACACCACCGTCTCCTCCTTCGGCTGGATCAACTTCTTTCTTCTTTTCTCCGACATCTTTATTCTCTTTCTTCTCACCAGCACTTTTGTCCTTCTTCTCGCCACCAGCTGGAGCTGCCACGGTGGCTCCCTCTTCTTTTTTGGCGGGAACAACTTCAACCTTGCGTTTAAGCTTCTCGTTGAGGTAAGGGGTGATTTGTTTAACGTCAATGATCCCCTTAACCATCACCAAGTCCTTGGCGCTATCAATGGTCACTGAATTAACTCCTGTGAATATAAACATCAAACATTAATTCGTAATTAATAGGATAATTAAACCCATATATTAGGCTAACGACTTCTTAACTAACCATTTGATATTTTTTCCACAAAAATAATAAATAAGGAAGCTACGTTATACTACATGTAGTTTCGACCTAATTACAAGGATTTTCCGTCATCAATTAATTTTCTAAAGATAATTTCAAAAGTGGAATTTGATTAGGATGATAAAACTCACCATTAATTTTGTTGACAATTCTTTTGATTTTGTGCTCGCAACCTTCACAATGTAGTTTCATCTTCAGAACCACCATACTCTGCATCACATTAATTAATCTTTGGTTAATTATAATTAGCTAAATATTTTTTTTTAAAATAAACTTTAATTATCATCAAGTGGATTTAGGATTAAGAAGGAGTTTTAAAAGTGCACACACACACGTTACATAAACTAAAAATAATTACCTCTTTTGGTGGAGAAGGAGGAGCTTTCTTCTCTCCTTCGTCTTTCTTCTTCTCGGCAGGTTTCTCATCCGCCACCTTCTTTTCACCGCCTGAAGAAGGAGAAGGAGGAGGAGCCTCTTTCTTCGGCGCCACTGCAGAGACAATATCAACCTTTCTCTTAATTTTGTCGGCGACTTTATCTCGAACTGCCGTTGGATCCACGTTTCCGATCACCGTCAATTTGTCACCCTTATAATCAATCATCACATCTTCTACGCCTGGGAATTATATAACAAAGAAGCAGAGAATTCGCGTTATAGGGTTTTCATAAAGTCAAAACCGCAGAGTAAAATAAAAAAGATGATACCTTTGTGATGTTTCAAGAGCCGTTTGATTTTCTTGCCACAACCTTCACAATGCATATCAAGCTTCATCACCACGACAGTGTTACCACTATCCATTGGCTTCTCCTCTCCTTCAGGTTTCGTCGCCGTTTCTTCCTTTTTCTGCATAGTTCACAAATTAATAACCAAACAGAGACATAAGAGAACGAGATAGGAAGAAGAAGATTAACTAAGTCACTGACCTCACCCATCAGCGTATAAAGGATTTTTGATCTTTCCTTTTTTGGGGGAAGAATTTTCGAATATGCTCTCTGAAAGAGAAAAATAAAGAGGAAAGAGGAGGAGGAGGCGTATATATAGTCGCGATGGTGTATGATTAGTGATGATGACATGCATTTATCACGATGTTGATAATACAAAACTTTTATTATAAGGTTTGATGATGTGTATAAACTGTTCATCACATACTTAACACGAGGTCAGTGTTTATAGGCCGCCAGATATTTTATTTGTTTTTATTCATATGCCTCGTGTTTGGGCCTCATCATTATAAATGGGCCTTCTTTTTTATGTGCCTTTCGTGAACCTTAAGCTTCCTACTTCTCGCACGATCTTTAAAGTAAATCGAAAATTTTGGTAAATAAAATAAAAAAAAAAGGAGAAGAAAGAGTTATTATTGCCTTTACCTTCTGAGCAATTCTCAGTGTGGTCCGGTGGACATCTCTTCTCTCTGCTTCTTCTCAACATTATACGCGGCGAAGATTCTTGTTTCAGACTAAGACTCTGGAGGTGTTTTTTTTGTCCGATTGCAATCATCAATGAGCAAGAACTCAAATCGATTTTAAGGTCAGTAATCATCTTTACCTTTCCCTCAAAATCAAAAGAAATAATCTTAACGAATTTATTGGGATTTTATTGTAATTATTGTTGCAGTAGCGGTTAGTGCGGGTAGTTAGTTGAAGAATGACAACAATAACAACAAGTGGGTCTAATTCTAATCACAACAACAACCGCCAACATGACGATAGTTCCGTAACCAACAACAACAACAACCCTAGTAATAGGTCTTGGGGAACTGTGGTTTCAACTCAATCGGTATCCACTAGCGGTGGAAGTATGGGCTCTCCCTCGAGCAGAAGCGAGCAAACCATTACTGTGGCTACTACATCTGCTACCGACAGTGCCTTTGTGCAACTGAATAATTTGGATATTCAGGGTGACGATGCTGCTTCTCAAGGACCTTCTTCTGGGTATGTTAAACTTTCACACCTCTGTTCCTGGATTTTGGTAAAAGGTCTCAACTTTCTATGGGTTTTAGCAATTACATGTAGGCATGGTGTGTGGATCATTCTTTTACTAGCTTGATTTTTTTTTGATAGCTTTCCTGATATGTACTGTTTCAATTACTTTCTATTGCTTTGAAGTTTGTCCTAAAATGTTCAAAGAATCTCTACCTCTTTGAATACTTATCTTTTCCCATTATCCTTGCCGGTCGCACCGAAAACTGTTTAGGCTACTCTGTCTTTGTGCAAGTTGTTAAAATTATCTTTTGTGTAGTTTTAATTGATCATTAATATATTAACAGTGGCAAGAAGAAGAAGAAGAGGGGACAGCGTGCGACTGGTCCTGATAAAACTGGAAGAGGCCTTCGTCAGTTTAGCATGAAAGGTCTCTCTCTGCCTCATTTCTTCTATCTTTAATAAAGTTTTGTAGCTGTGAATAGTGGATGATGCCTTTGTAGAGTAGTTTTGGTTTTACATTTAACTCATCTTCTGTTCTTCTGGCTTGCTCTCAGTTTGTGAAAAGGTGGAAAGCAAAGGTAGGACTACTTACAACGAGGTACGCTCTAGTTTTCCTCATAACTTCACAATATGTCTGCCTTACGAAAAGATCCCTTCACTAGTGTTTGCGTTTAACTCAACTCATGGAACCAAATTCAAGATCACATAGTGGAATATCAATTTATCTCATGTAGGTTTGCAAACTTGTAGCTCCTTAGTATGGTATCTGACGGGTGAAAGTACTTTCAGGTTGCGGACGAGCTTGTTGCTGAATTTGCACTCCCAAATAACGATGGAACATCCCCTGATCAGGTATGCAATTCTTCAATAGTTCATAACTTGAGAACATGTGCGATACAACAATGATTGTAAATCTGTTCATATATGCGGTTCGTTCTGTAAACTATGATAAGCGTACATCATCTGAATTTTCACTTTAAACAGCAACAGTATGATGAGAAGAACATAAGAAGAAGAGTATATGATGCTTTAAACGTCCTCATGGCTATGGATATAATATCCAAGGATAAAAAAGAGATTCAGTGGAGAGGTCTTCCTCGGACTAGCTTAAGCGACATTGAAGAATTAAAGGTTTTACAACCCAACTCGCTGTGTTTGCTTGCCCGTGTTCCAAAGCTCGTTTAGACATTGTTTCTAAAGTTGAGTTTCATTTTCGCAGGCTGAACGACTCTCACTTAGGAACAGAATTGAAAAGAAAACTGCATATGCCCAGGAACTGGAAGAACAAGTAATAATATACACTACTTCGTGATCTTCCGTTTACTCTTACTGCCCATTCTTACATCGTTCCTTTTTCTTATGTGTATGTGTAAAGTATGTAGGCCTTCAGAATTTGATACGGAGAAATGAACACTTATATAGCTCTGGAAATGCTCCTAGTGGCGGTGTTGCTCTTCCCTTTATCCTCGTTCAGGTAAACTTTCACCAGAAGCTTATTTACCAAGCAAGCCAACATCATCGTTCCTTGTTCGGTCATTGTCTGATTGTTGTTGTTGTTATACTCCACCAGACTCGTCCTCATGCGACCGTAGAAGTGGAAATATCAGAAGACATGCAGCTCGTGCATTTCGATTTCAACAGGTTAAAGAAACTAAAACACGACATTTTGATCTCTCTTTTTCAGCTATTTACCCATCTCTTCTCGCTGTTTGCAGCACTCCGTTTGAGCTCCACGACGATAACTTTGTCCTCAAGACGATGAAGTTTTGCGAGCAGCCGCCATATAACAACGGTCACAATAACAGCCAACAAACTTCTCACACTCTCATGCTTGAAAACAATAACGAAGGCCCTAGTACCGATCCAGCTCCGCCTCAGCCAGCGGCTACTATGTACCAGTCTCAGCCACAAATCAGTCCCTCGCCGCCTGTGACTAACAACGACGTTGCTCAGGCGACATCACCACCTGTCTCGGTGAAGCCGGAGAAGTAAAACACGTCGAAGCTCAACAGTCATTGTATAATATCTGTAAAACTGTAGTCTTAAAGATCAAAAAAAACTACCTGTTTTTTTTTTTGACAGAGAGCTTAGCGGTAAATTTGTACTGATGGTGTACCGGTTTGGTAATACCAAATCTAGGATTACTTTCTAAACCAGTTGGATTGATCGATGCTTGGTTTTGTTCAGTCGGAAACCGGCAATTTTGAATTTTCTTAACTACAAGAATTGAATAATCGATCTCCGGTTTAAATATGCTTATATACAAATATGGTTCTAGCTTATACCAGTTTAGATAACAATCTCCTGTTTGATGGTGGAACCGGAACCCGGTTCGGTTGAAGTGTTATATGATTAGAGAAATAAAATGTTACTTATAATGATGATTCTCTAGTCAGTGGTAGATGCTGGCAACTTCGGAGTCCGACAGTCATGGCGACTTTGTCCTTTATCTCCTTGGCTTCCTTTCACAATAGGAATCCAATGTTCTACCTTCACCATCATCAACAGCCGCAACTTCTTTTTGTTCCCCACTTGAAGAAGAAGAAGAATGCTTTCATATGTTTCGCTTGTTCCATCAAACAAACCAGGTTCGAAATTTGGACACGGTGTTACTCAATTCCACTTACTGTTTTTGTGGTCAGTGTTGGTTAATCAGTTCTCACTGAATCCGATTTGCTTTTTTTTTTTGCAGAGTTCGTAAGAGAGTGAAGAGCAACGAGGAGCTTCGGAGTGAGATTCTGGAGTTCGTTGCTTTGGCTGGGCTTCCTCCAGGTCACGTCCCCTCCATGAAGGAACTCACTGCACACGAAAGGTTTGAGCTTTCTGAATTTCCAGATTTAAAGTTTGAACATTTATAAAGTTGAACACTTTGCTAGAATTGAGTTTACTGTTGTCTGTGTTATATGTAGAGTTGATCTTGCAAACGTTGTCAGACGAAGAGGATATAAGTTCATCAGGGAGCTTCTTGCTGACTCTGAAGACTGTAATGAGCTTACAAGTTCAAGTGGCGTCTCTTTGGAAGATTCTTTGACAGGTTCTACTCATCATAAGTTACTAGCACCATAATATTGCTTATGTAAGATAGCTCTCCACTTTTCTTATATATATACTTATTTATCTGGTGTAGAAGGTCAGGACTACGGAAGCTTGTCTACGGAACCACCTTCAAGCAGTGAGATAGACTCTACTGCAACAGATGCTAGTGTCTCTCTTGATCAGATAACACGTAACTTTACAGAGGAAGTTGATGTAGCGAGTTCAAGTCCCGAGTCTGAAGAATATGGAAGTGTGAGTCAAGATGAATCTTCATTGGCTGCATTTTCAGACTTGGGTGACAGTAGTTATTCAGCAGAAAGTAATTTAGAGAGTGAGAGCGTGGAGCTCAGTAATGCAGCTGACACTGAATCCTCTTCTTCCGAAGCTTCAACATCCGAAAACCATTCTCTGGTTTTAGATGATACTTCAAGCTGTTCAGAGAGAGAAGCTGACAATGTTTTGGTGGCAGAGGAGGATTTGGAGGTCAATGATGTGGATGAGGAATCCTCTCTTACCTGTGATCACTACACCAGTCAAGATTTAAATCACACCAAACTTGTTGAAAGTGTTGATACTGAATCCTTGTCTGGCGAGAACACCATGGCAAATGCAGAGAACTTTCAGAATCAGCAGATGGCTGAAAATCATTCTGACGATAGTGTAGTTGAGCCTGATCATAATGATTGGACATTAGGACTTTCTTCTTCAACTTCAAGCATAGAAGAAAAAACAACCAGATTTATCCAGAACGGGTACTTGGATACAGTTGATGGTATGTTCGATCTCCTAAACCCTATACTGCAAAAGAATTGTCTTAAATATGATGGCATGTCGTGTTGATATCTTCATAATTCGTGCATGGTTCTGTAGTAAATATTTTAACCCCGAGGTGAAAAGGTTAAGTGATAGTTGGAACCGGTTTCAGATAATGTAGATGACACACCTAATGAAAGCAGTCCTGAAGAAACAACAAAAGGTGATGAGTACAGTCATGTTGGTCAGAGAAGTGTGAGTATGACGCCAAATGGAAGTGCCGTAGCATATGAGGTAGCATATGAGGAGGTTACCTATGCGACAGAAGCTAATAACTCTCAAAGGTGAGTTCTATACATGAAAGGTCAAATCTGTTTCTCTTGATCATTATTTACATGTTTATGTGATCCTTGATATTTCATTCACAGGAATAGTGATCAGAGACATGGAAACGCTGAACTGGACAAGGATTCACATGATGAGGTGCTGTGAACTCATTTAACTCTCTCAAGTTGGTCTTAAGTAATTGAATAAACCTATTTTTTTTTGTATCCATACTCATAGAAACTTGTACTGAAATGATACAGACAATGAAACGGGAAAATCAGGTTGAAATTACTCGGCTGAGGTTCATGCTGGTACATTGATTGCTTTTTTCTCAATATGTGGACCAGATAAAATGAATTTTGCAAACTAACTTTGTTAGTAATGTATTGCATGATTAGCGTCAAAAAGAGCTGGAGCTGTCAAGGTTAAAAGAGCAGATTGAAAAGGAAAAGGTAAGATATTTTGATGCTTGGATGATACTACTCTCCTTGATGTTTCTATAGTCTGTTATTCTTGCAAAAAAGGTGATACTTCATTCTGTTCCTAATTCTTCTAATTGTATGGTTTCAGCTGTCTCTTTCGGTTCTTCAAAGAAAAGCCGAAACAGAGATACAAAAGGCCCAAATGCTTGTCTCACAGAAGGATGTTGAGTTGCAAGAAGCTGAGGAAAGTCTCTCAGGACTGCAAGAGGTAAGTTTAATTTTGTTTTATATACCTGTTTCCTAGTCATAGTCCGGTTTGGACTATCAATACATGCAGATGCAGAGCCCTAACTTCATAACCCCTACTACTGAAACCAATAGCCTTATAAGCAACAGTTAGACAGATAAAAGATTACACTTTTATCACTTAGTTCTCTAAAACAAGTTTATGCATATTATATCATTACGTTGAACCTTATGAGTGTCATGAGTTTGGTGGGCGTTCGTGATATACGTAAATGAAAGAAAAGTGAATTTGTTTTCTTCAGGTTGAGATTGAATATTGTGGAGATGGTAATGTTGTGGAGGTGACTGGCAGCTTCAATGGCTGGGAACACCGAGTGGGACTGGAACTTGAAACGTCCAAGTCATCCGGGTCAGTATTGGTTCCTGACTCTTTCTAACATTTTACCTTTAATAAGTAATTACTGATCACTCTCTCTAGCAGCCTAGCTAGAATCAACATTTAGATTCCTTTCCTCTTTTTTTTTTGAACAAAGAATCCTTTCCTCAAACATTAGTCTTCTTATGGTGAACCCTGTGAAGGACTTAACATTCAGGTGTATGCTTCTATGGTGTGTTTTTACAGGAAAGAGAAATGCTGGTCAACATTACTGTGGTTGTATCCTGGTACTTATGAGATTAAGTTCATCGTGGATGGTCAATGGATAACGGACCCTCAAAGAGATTCAGTTACAAGAGGACACATCACAAACAACATTCTCAAAGTAGACAGATGATTTCTGTTGCTTTACTGTTTAGAGTTACATTCAAATCTAGAGCCTCGCAGATGATAGATAGGGAAAGGAGCAATCATGTAATCAACTTCTCCGATGATCTCTTGTATAAGGTGTTTTGCTGTGTTCTTAGAGGTAGTAGAGTATGTACAAAACTACAATTTTAGGTAATGTTGATTAAATAAATTTCTGAATCCAGTCTCCTATCATGCAACATAACCATCATCATTATTAAACCCCGTTCATGAATCATGACAAAACGAACAGAAAGCATATCCTTTTTGGGCTACTTTCCTACAAATTTAGTAATAATAAAAGTTGACAAGACATTCAGTTTAAAGGTTCTCCCCGGTTTACTTCATCTCAGCGTCTGTGAGCGGTACATAGAAGCCACCTCTCAATTAGCTCAACCGGTAAAGTAAACCTGTATCTATTTCATGTCTACGAATACACCTTCCTTAAACTTCTTGCGTAGAGCATGTACGGCGGAGTCAATCCGTGCATTATCCTGTAGACCAAAAAAATACAGAAGGAAACTGTAAGCCTTGAAAAATATGAGGAACGAAAGGAAACTAGATCTTCTGTGTTTGTACCTTTCCCTTCAAGCAGATGATGATAGGACCTTGTCTGGATTTCCTGTAACACCCTGAAGGAGAAGAAGATTGTGGTTAAGACAGAGACTTAAAGCTAAATAGTATCAAACAGGTCAAAGATTTTATACCAAGGTATATGTCTGGAAACTCGAGTCCAAGTTTTGACAGAGGTTCTGCAACTTCTACCTGCATTTCAAGAATAAACCCCAAATCCAAAGTCAATCATCCGAAATGAAACTAGCAAAATTTTCTGCCAGGGACTGCATATATCTCCAAGTTTCTATCAGGAACTATGAGTCTTGGTTAAACACAGGTTCCTGCATGATAAGGGAAGAAGTAGCAAAGCCATGGCTAAAAAAAAATGAAAAGCATACATCTGTCAAAGATGTCATCAAGCGCCTTGACGCGTATAGCTCCATAAGTGATGTACTTCCACCCAATTTAGTTAGCTCCGTTAGACATTCCCACTCCTTCTCGAGCTCCTCAGTGTTTGTAGCAGCTAGAACAATCACGTTGCGGCACTTGATCTAACATAAATTGATCCGTGATCAGTGATCAAATTGGTATGGAAGCAGGATACTGAAATTTTTGAAACACCTACCAATGGCACCGAAAGCTTTTCATGATGCAGTAGTTCAGTGATTCCTTCCGGTAACTGAGCCATCTGAAAAGACAAAAACAATTAACCTGGTGAGAAACCATCTACGCAACAACAATGTAAGGATAAACCATAGCAAAACGACTCTGATGCTATAAAAATTTAGCAATTTTTTCTGAAGATGTTATATAAATCCATAAAAAAGGTTATTCTCAGGACCGAACTCACTTCATTCCTGTCACCTGTGCAATGCTCGCTGATAAGATGCCTAAGATATTCTTCAAACTCTTCATCAGGTGCCTGAATAAACCGACTTTATTAGCCTCTTACACTACAATTGAGTGGTGATAATTTTCAGTTATTGACACTCAGATGCATTGAGATGTTATGGCATATATCAAACTGTCTTAACCAGAATCTGTGTTTGAATGAAGAGATACGTACCAGGCGAACCCCAAATGCCTTAGCAACACCAGCCAAAGTAACATCTGAATGCAAAGGACCAACTCCTCCATATATAAATACCTGCAAAAACATCAAGCACAGGAAATCAGTAAGTTATATCTTACCAAGGCAAAACCTCTCTTTGGTTTTATGCTCATCTGTTTAACGGACTTACCATATCACAGATCGACCTTTGGCGGTCAACTTCCTCGGATACAGAATCAATCTGATTAAAGATACACACTGAAGCGTTAACAGAGATAAGAAACAATTTGATGGAACGAAGACAATGAATAAATCTCACTCACATCATTCCGAAGAACAGAAGTTTGTTGCACCGACCAACCAACAGAAGTCAGCTTTTTACACAGAGATAGTCCTAACTGATCGTCAACAGTGCCAGACCTGAGCTATGGAACAGATAAATGGGTTGAAAAAAGTTCATTGCCCCTACTAGAGTAAACAATCAAGCAGGACATAAATATTTACATATAAAGGATCCTTTATAATAAGAACTAATGACTTACAGAATCTCATCGCCAACAGCAATAACTGAGGCCAAAAGCACCTCATGTTTTTGTGAATCACTTCCTACGTCATTCTTGATTGAAGCATTTTTCTTGACTCTCCCTGCCCTCTCTGACCTCCCATCAGAAAGCATATAAGCAGGTTTGAATTTCTCTTTGCTGCTGGTGTCGTTAACAGACAACAATGCGTTGGGAACAGTATCATGAATACTCCCAATTGATGTGTATCTGTGTAGTGACACACCATAAGATGAATTAGGCAATAATTTTTTACAAAAAAAGTGAAACTGTGGGGAGAACTTTTACCCCTGGTCATAAAGACTGCAATACTTGACCTTGCAAGTTAGCAGAAATGCCCAAACATCTCTGCATAGGCAACATTAAAAGTAATCAGAAAACCAAATTGCTCTAGTTTCCAAATTTTCAAAGCCTTTTACGGGTTTTATGTCATATTTTGGCTATAACTGTTACAGTGACCAAAGGGATACCTATATGACCAATCCAAAATAGGATTCACCCTCATAAAGGGCGGCCATCCAGGGGAACTAGGAGAGAATTGCTCTTGACCAACCTGGAAAAGAAATCAATGACAGTCACAATGATCAAATCTTTTCACAAGTTCTACAAAAATAGTTGCATATGAATCTTGAGATTTGAAGAGAAAGCTAACCGCAGTAGGATCACCAATTCTGACACCAAGAAAGATTGCTCTGATAGGGTTAGCTGTTAACAATGCCTCCAACCCGGATTTGAAATCCTGGCGAATGATATCAAGCTGGATACCGTAGCTGCCAATATAGAATAAGATGATTAACCAACCAGCAGAAAAAAAAAATCACTATGGGTGCATACACAGTAGGATCAGAATTTATTCTCACGTTTGAGCTGCATCATATGTGAAGGCATTGATCTCAGTGAAGGCAGAAGGGCTCTCAAAGTATATGGTCCTGACTGGAAAATTTGGTAGACCTCCATTAGAACAGCCCATCTCTTTCTTATGCAAAAAATAGCCAGCTCTAAGAAGGTGGAGTAACACCTAAACTCATGATGAGAGTCACTATTACTACTCTATAAAAGATCAAAACAGGAGACTGTGTGGAAGGAATCAGATTTAACTTACAGTGGAATCTTTGCCTCCATTGAAACTAAAGGCGACCTCTTCAATACTGCACAAATTGAAGAATCAGTAAAGTAGATTTGATATTAAATGATCTTGACAACAATTATCACCTTATATATAAAACAGTAATGCAATGTTGGTAGAGCACACACACACACACACACAATGATCAGACAATAAATGAACAGAAAGCATCATTAATTTTCAAACAGTACGCACAAACATTATAACAAAGGTTCCAAAAGCTGTGGAATCTTTGGTCAAAGTTTGTAAAAGACAAATGAATCTGAAGATCAAGACTTTGATGAAGTAAAGATTAATAAGAGAGATGAGAACTGACGAGTAGAGAGAAAGAGCTCTTGTGATGACGAAGATGGCGTTGTTGTATTTGGTCTTCAACCTCTTATCGTCGCTTTCACGGATCGCTTTGTCGATCTCCATCTCTCAAACAAATCCAAAATGCTCTCTAATGATCAAAATTCACAAAAAGTCAATGCTTTGAAAATTCGAATCAGATTTAAGAGTAATCCAGGGCAGAGCTTTGCTCACCTTATTCCGACGACTTGAGATGATAGGAGAGAAGACAACAACAGAAATGGAGATTTATAAAAAAATATTGGAACTTTTATGGATATTTTATTACAAAGCTCAATCTTTTATTGCCACACCCCATTTATCTAAAACCTGATATTAAAAACAAAAACAGTATTGAATATTGACAAAAGAAACAGAGAAAGACAAAACCTAGCTCATTGTAAAATTTCTTTGCTCGGAGCAGAAAGATTCATGGTTATTCAGTAATCACATCGATAAAAATATTGTACTATAATTTATTTAAACGTAGAGCAATAAGTAACAGAAGCATGAACTTGTTCTTAAACTGAATCATGTTCACATACACTGAACCTAATAATAACCAAACTCCTTTTTTATCAGCTTTGATTAAATACAATCATAATAGTTTAACTAATGATGAAGTTGCTGCATCTTATTACACTTTTGCAGGCTTGTCCACATTGTAAACTTATATTTTAGCTAACACACATTAGTACCATAACGTTATTCAAGATATTCTTGCAAAGAATATTTGGTCGAGATTCAAGAACACTTATTATAATATAATTTGCGCCAATAATTTTATTTAGGATTAACAAAGAATAGCTAATGAAGAAAAGTCAGGGTCAACGATTTTGTTTTTATGACGACTTTTTCTTTGAGCAAATCTGAGTGAGTGGGCGACCACGCAGTGCGTTCAACACACAATCGCAGTCATACACGTTTTCGTACTTCATCTTTGCCTCTCCTTTTTTACCTTTCAATATTCAAATCATGTTCTAAAGCAAGAACAAGTTTGGTATCTAAAATTTTTAATGGTAATCAATCCGTTAAGGTTATAAGTAAAGATCATTCCATCAACTCATGTAGAATAGTTACACAAAAACATTGTTTTAATATAAAATGGGATTAGAGGCTGCAACTAAATTCTGTACGAAGGCAAGAATTACTGAGAACTCCCCCTTCACTTGAGTTACCTAGTCGAAAAGACTATCCCCATGCCAAAAATCAACTAGAAAATCCACCATTTCCTGCAAAGAAAGAATACAAACCAAGTTAATACTACTACTGTGATTGCAGATAAGAGGAGAAGGTCTGTTACGTTCTTGAATGACAAACATGGTTCAAAGGTTTAAACAACTTAATAAGAAGAAAAGGAAAAATGTGTTTGGAGTATTGTTTGTAGAAACTCACAGCTAGAGGGATGGGCTTGTGAAAGGGTGTGTGGTTGTTTAGAAGCATCTCTTCATAAGTGGCGTTGAAGCTAAAAAAAAGAAGGGATTTTAAGAGTTGAACATATGTGATAAACATAAAGCGTGAAGATTTCAAAAAATGCTGGGAAATAATTAAAAAGCTAACCTTATAACAGGTTCCATAGGCAACTCAGAAGTCCTTTTAGACGGATCTCCAACCCAATTCTTCCTCATCTCTTGCCATGCAATCTCAGCTGCAAAAAACAAACAAACAGGGAACCACAGTTTAAAGTAAGATCCATGTGTGTTTACATTCCAAGAGAGGAGTTCTGGAAACTTTAGCCTTAACCTGAGACTAACAACCAGTTCCCTTACTTGTCAAAACATCTAGAATTGGGAAGGGTGTTAAATAATACTTACCATGGTTGACAAAGATCTTCTCAGACGATGTCTCTTTATCATTGCTGGAAACATTGGCAGAAGAATCACAATTGGCTTCCATAATCAAACTGAATTCAACAAAAACGATCACATTATAAAGGGGCTCTTGAAGAATATATATATATACATTATGCAACTAACCTAGGCATTCTATGTAATCATACACATCATAACTCATGTTCTTAACAGAAATAATTAATATATACAACATGATTCTCACAAGTCACATTCAGAGGCAAAGGCAGTGCATATAATCGACCAAGAACTCATGTGGAATAGTTAATCACAACATAATTAACCTAAAATCACAACAGAAAAGGAGGTGATGAAACCCTAAAAACTGCTCTACACAATTTGGAAAAGAAAAAAAAACGAAATCTTTCGCGAGAGATTGAAAAAAGAAGAAGATGAAACTGTTTTAAGGGTTTTGACAACGGACAAGGATATAGAGATGCTTTGATTTAAGAGACGTATCCGAAAAAAAACAGAGCTTGTAAAATAAAAACAAGGAAAATCGAGAGAAAGAGATGACCTTTGCTTCTTCTAATGGGAGCTTTGATGAGCAGAGAGAATCGACGACGGCTTGAGAAAAACCTCGCCGAGGAAAGGTTCCACAACTTGTCGGAAACAGAGAATCCTATGCTATTTGTCTTTTATAAGACTTTAAAATTTCCTATTTTCGATTAGCTCATTACATTGTCTTAATTCATAATTAATTTTAATCTTCTATAAAAAACAAGACCGACCTTAGCTCAGTTGGTAGAGCGGAAGACTGTAGTAGTCGCTGTGATCTTTAGGTCGCTGGTTCGATTCCGGCAGGTCGGATTTTTTTTTTTAACTGTTATCAGAGCAAATCCGCTAAATGAAGTGGAGGGTTTCGAATCCGAAATTTTCAAAAGACTAATTGCGGTGAGCGTGAATCGAACACGCGACCTTCAGATCTTCAGTCTGACGCTCTCCCAACTGAGCTATCCCCGCTTGCTGATAATTTCTATATATAGCTTTTGATACTATTAACTTTGTGGTGTTCGTCGAAAAAGGAAAGTGTTGTTCCTTGGGAAAATGGGCAATTAATTCCCCAAGTATTTGAAATCGGCAGTTTTAATACTCAAGTATTGCTCGCGCAGAATTATTCCCCAACTAATAGTTGACTGCGCGAAATTAGGAATGAAATAGTCAAACCGTTAACTGGTTAACGGAAAGATAACGGTTGACTATTTCGTTCATAATTTCACACAGTCAACTATTAGTTGGGGAATAATTCTGCGCAATAAATACTTGAGTATTTAATTTGCCGATTGAAAATACTTGAGGAATTTAAAACATCAATACTTTTTAAAAATATATATATAATTTAAAAGATGAAATAGATTTTTTAAAAAAATAAAACGATTAACTTTATTAACGATTAACTCTATTAACTTTATTCAATATACTTAAATCCTAACACTAACGATTAACTTTATTAACGCTTTTTTAAATAAAAAAAAATCTGTTTACTTTAGTTAACTTTGGTTTAGTTGTGTTCTTATAAAAATATTGATTTTCAGATTTTTTTTTTTCAGTTTTATATTATAATTATAATATAAAACTGTCTGATCATGTTTTATGTAAATTAATTATAATATAAAACTGAAAAAAAAAATCTGAAAAATCACCATTTTTTATAAGAACACAACTAAACCAAATTTAACTAAAGTAAACAGACTTTTTTATTTTTTTAAAAAGCGTTAATAAAGTTAATCGTTAGTGTTAGGATTTAAGTATATTGTATAAAGTTAATAGAGATTTTAGTTTTCAAATAATAACAAAAGCACATTGTTTTCTCGGTTCGGTTTAACTCGGTTCAGTTTGGTTTGGAGTTGTTTCGATTCAGTTGGTTCGGTTTCATTCGGTTCGATATTTTTTGCCATCCCTAGTCTAAAATTGAGATCTAATTTACAACATATGATTATGTAAATGATATGAAATCATCCATATATGATTATATAAACATGAAGTACATCAACAATAAACTGCAACTATAACTATACTTATTATTGTATATGTTATTGTAAAAGCTTAAAAATCCAATGTTCTAAAAATCACTAGGCGGAAACTAGGCACTCTATAGAGAACTAGCGCCTAGGCGGATTATTCGGGGCCTAGGCGGGAATTAGGCGTTAACGAATTATTGATTTATTTTATATATATTTTACATTTATATAAGTGATTTAATTTTTTTGGTTTAATTATAATTTTATTTTAATAAATTATCAAAATCCGATATACAAAATAAAATAAATTGCACATATTTATAATTATTTCCTAAATTATTACTTAATTTAACAAATTTATAGTAATTTAAACTAATTATAAACGTTTTAGGGCAATTTAAACCGATTTAAAACGGTTTAAACCGACTTGAATAGTATAAATCAGATTTTAAGAAAACCGTTTCGGTAAGAGGGGATTTGCCGCCTAGGCGGACGCCTAGTCGGCGCCTAGACCGATTTTTAGAACATTGTAAAAATCTATTTCAAAAAGTAAAAATCTCGTATATTGATTGTATCTGACTTGAAAATATTTTAAATTATATATATTTTAAAAAAGTATTGATGTTTTAAATTCCTCAAATATTTTCAATCGGCAAATTAAATACTCAAATATTTATTGCGCAGAATTATTCCCTAACTAATAGATGACTGTGTGAAATTAGGAACGAAATAGTCAACTGTTATCTTTCCGTTAACCAGTTAACTGTTTGACTATTTCATTCCTAATTTCGCGTAGTCAACTATTAGTTGGGGAATAATTCTGCGCGAGCAATACTTGAGTATTAAAACTGCCGATTTCAAATACTTGGGGAATTAATTGCCCATTTTCCCGTTGTTCCTTTAAAGGGTGGATGAGAAGCATCTAATTCGGTAGGAAGAAGAAGATGGCGAGAAGCATCTCTTACATCACCTCAACTCAGCTCCTTCCTCTCCACCGTCGTCCCAACATCGCCATCATCGATGTCAGGTCACCTTCTTATTCCCAACATTCAACTCTTTTGAGTCACTAATCTGATCCTTTAGCAAACTTTAGGTCTAATCGACTTAGGTTTATATGGATTTTAGCTGACTCTTTTACTTTTGAGCTATAAGATCAGATTGTTGTGAACAAAAGGAATCTCAATGTTCTGTAAAGGTGAAGTTTTTTATTGAATTTCAATTAGAACATAACTATTAGTAATCGCATAAGCTTGGAACGTAGCTTTTGTGGTCAGCTCTGTTTTGATACAGAGTTGTGTCTGAAAAAAGTTCCTGACTTTTGTTTTTTTGAAGATGTGAATCCTCCGAGTGTAGTAGTAATTGTTCTGTGTTGTTTTTTTGAAGAGATGAAGAGAGGAATTATGATGGGCATATAGCTGGGTCGCTACACTATGCAAGTGACTCTTTTGATGACAGGATCTCTCATCTTGTTCAAAATGTCAAGGACAAAGACACACTCGTCTTCCATTGTGCTTTGAGCCAGGTCTCTCTGTCTGTCTTATTACACACTATTTTCACCTCCCAAAACAATATCTTTGATTTCATATGAAGGAAGGAATACTCGCGATGATTGAAACTGAATGGTGCTTTTTTTATCAGTGCATAAGTAGATGAAGATGAACTCTTGTTGGTAAAAATTTCCAATTAGTTAAGTTTATAGTGGATTCATGTTTCATAGGCTATATAAGTGATGATGTTTCAGAAAAAAAAGGTTATAAGTGATGAAGATGAACTCTTGTTGGTGCAAAATTTATACTAGTTTAGTTTTTAGTTGATTCATGTTTCGTAGGGTATAAGTGGTTCATGCTTCATTGGTTATGTAAGTGGCATAATAATAACTGGAGATTCTTTAGATGGATCTCAATCTCTTTTGCTTTCAAGTTTTCCTCTTGAGGTTGGTCTTCTGTGTCAAAGGTGGATTCAAAATAGCAAAAATCACATGACCTTGCTACTGGTTTGCTTAATGTGTGCCATACTTTAGGAACATCCATTACATTATTTAGAAATAACATCGATAAGCTGACACTGCAAAAGCATCAAGTTCAATACTTTTGTAACCCTTTCCTTGTTCTATCCTAACCAATTGGTTGCAGGTTCGTGGCCCAACATGTGCAAGAAGACTGGTGAATTATCTTGATGAGAAGAAAGAAGAAACTGGAATAAAAAACATAATGATCCTGGAACGAGGCTTCAATGGCTGGGAAACTGCTGGTAAACCGGTTTGCCGCTGCGCAGAAGTTCCTTGCAAAGGCGATTGCTCCTAAGCCATACTACTAAACCATTCGAACCTAATTAATCTCCACAGTATCATGTATTAAGTGGAAGCTCATCATCATTCATAACATAATCTATTCCCAATATGTTACTTTACTTGAAAGAAACAAACTCTCATGTAGCTCTATTGATTGTTGACAATGACCATATTAAAGGGCCTTTTGGGTATTATCTGTTATCTCAGCTTCCCATCAACGTCAAAACCTTCTGGCTGAGTCAGAGACTTTGCTTTATTTATAGTTTTTTTTTTTTAGCATCACATTCTGATCTCTCTGCGATTCAACTTCTAGCTAAATTCCCCAATTCCTGAGTCCAGAACCCTAATTTCAATATGGTAAGATTTGTTCAATTAAGTTGTTTTCTGGATCTTTGTTTGTAAATCATGCGGTTTTTATTTCGGATTGATTGAATCTATGGAGTTTACACAGGTTTGTATAATGTGTTTGGTGCCGCTGTTCCTCGTCCCGCTCATCAATCTACTTCCTCGTATCATCGATTTCTTAATGGTAATTTTATCAATATTTGTTTATAATCTTTGAAAGTTTAATTCTTTCTTCATCAGAAGGATGATCAGATTCATGGGAATTAAAAAAGTAAAAATTTTGGATATTTTATTATGCTAGAGTGTTGTTTTATACGCTTGTTCTTAAAAGGAGATAATCTTTACGTGAAAAAAAAGAAAATGATATAATTAAATAAGGAAGAAGATAGGCATACTAAGATAGGAAGAAAGATGAAGTTAATTTGTTTTTTTTTTTATCTGCTTGAGCTAGCCTCTTAAAGATGGTGTAGAAATGTTTAAATCTTAGTGAATCATACATACGGATGTTGTTTTTTTTGTAGACAGACTGTGTAATGAATCGTACAAGACAGTGTTAGATGTCGTGGTCTAATCATTTTTGTTGATTTTCTTGGGGGTATTATCTTATAGGCCAAAGTGTATGCATGGCTCGGATGGGAGTACAGGAAGCCAGCGAGAGTTCCTCCAGCTTGTCCTTTTAAGCCTAACGACAACAACTCCACCAAAGTAAGCGGAAAGAAAGATTTACTCACTTGATTTGCATTTAGTTAATGAAAGCTTTGGATGCTTCAGTTTATGTTTTACATTATATTTCAACACAACGATATGCCATGATCCATTAGCTTCCATGAACTTTATTATATATTAATGGTTGGTTGCCTTTTAATCTTTGAATAACATTTTGTTATTACAGGTGACTGCTGAAGCTGGAAGTGAAGGTAGAGGAGAAACAATAGCTAAACCGGAGGAGAGTGGTGGGGTTAAGCAGGATTGACGGCTTGAGTCCCCTTTCTTTTCAAATAAAAGCTTTTTGAAAGAAATTTACACAAATCATGTCTTCTTTTGTTATAACAGCCCCCTTCGTTTTCTTCACAGGTTTTTATTAAAAAAAAAAAGTAGAGAATCTATTATAATTTGAAAAGATTTGTTTATCACGACTACTCTGTTTATTTGATTTTCATCATCACAAAATCTAGTGATAACCACTCGTCAATTTGATTGCATAATGCCTAAACAATTCGCTATGTATCATCAGCACAGCAATTATCTTACTGCATCGTTCAGTTTGTGGATAAAGATCAGGTGATTGTTAATGTTTTTAGCACATGACAAACTCTACAAAGGAGGTTCTCTTCCTTGATAAACTTGAATAGGATCTCAAGGCAACACAACCTGCTGAGTTCAAGCGCTGTATGGTCCCTTGTGTTCCAACAGATTGGTCGGTGCCTTATCAATATATTTTCTTCCTTTTTTTTTTAATAAATTTTGCCGTCTAAATATATATAGTGCTTATTCTTATTCGGAAATTTTACATTTTATAATAGAGAAAGTAAACATAATTTTTACTAACAGGCAAAAGCTACAGGCGCAGAAACCAGAGTTAGGGTTTTCAATGGAACTTCGTATTGGTAACAAATACCGGCTTGGACGTAAAATCGGGAGCGGCTCGTTCGGAGAGATATACATTGGAACAGATACACAAACCAACGAAGAAGTCGCTATAAAGCTCGAAAGCGTCAAGACTCCTCATCCACAGTTGGCATATGAGTCCAGGGTATACAGGATTCTACGCTTACAAGGTGGAGGAGAAACTGGTGAGATGATTCCAAACATGAGATGGTACGGTGTTGAACGTGACCAGTACAATGTTATGGTCATGGATTTGCTTGGTCCAAGCCTTGAAGATCTGTTTAGTTACTGCAACAAGAGATTCACATTGAAGACAGTTCTCATGCTAGCTGATCAATTGATAAACCGTCTCGAGTTTGTGCATTCTAAATCGTATCTTCATCGTGATTTAAAGCCTGAGAACTTTCTAATTGGTTTGCCTAGGCGTGCTGATCAGGTTTACATCATAGACTTTGGCTTGGCTAAGAAGTATAGAGATGGCTCAACCCACAGCCACATACCATATAGGGAGAATAAAGGTTTTATTGGGACTCCGAGTTATGTCAGCATCAACACTCACTTAGGGATCGAGCAAAGTCGGAGAGATGATATGGAGTCACTTGGTTATGTACTTATGTACTTTCTCAGGGGGAGTCTCCCGTGGCAGGGACTCAAAGAAGTTGGGGACAAGAAACGTGATAAGATTTTTGCAAAGAAGGCTTCTACTTCCTTTGAAGAGTTGTGTAGAGGTTATCCAATAGAGTTTGCATCCTACTTTCATCACTGCCACTCGCTTAGGTTTGAAGATAAGCCAGATTATGCGTACTTGAAGAGACTGTTCTGTGACCTTTTTATTCGTCAAGGTTTTCAGTTTGATTATGTGTTTGATTGGACGGTACTCAAGTATCAGGAATCACAAAGATCATCATCATCATCAAGACGACTTGTGGTGGGCTCTAGTAGTCGTGAACCGTTCAGTGGTTGTGATCAATAGTATTGATGTTTTGCGGATCAATGAAGGAGGAACCTAAAGGAAAACTCTTCTCAGACTGATTCATAGAAAAAGCTTTTAAGAAAAAACGGGTTGCTTGTCTCAATCTTCTTGAGAGTTTTCAAGGTTGTGGGAATAACATTGTATATGGTTCTATAGATTAAACGAGAAGGGATATATTACAGCTGAATCAAAAGAAAAAACAATCATATAATAATATGTTATAAACATCTAGCAATGATGTGGTCAAAAAAAAAAAAGATGTGGTCATGGATTATTATCACTATTATCCCATGACTTTCTTGGAATGCTGTGGTGGTTATTCACATCGGTGTCGGCTTCTTCTCCGACATCAGGGTTCTCAGTGCTCCGGCCATAACTAGCTCCTCTGACTGTCTAAAAGCCTTAGTCATCTTCAAGGCTTTTATTTTACTTTATGATAATCTCTTGTTTGAATCATATCCAACAATTGATTAATTTAAGGTATTCTATCTAATGGAGCATATCAAGATATTTTCGAAGGTTTACCAATAGGCAATAGGTAACATCGTTTTGTACTTATGTTTTTATTAGATGATCTGTTTCTATCCTAACCCCTAGATGCTTCTTGGAATGACTCCATATGGTTTGTGAAAAGTCTTGCTAAAAATTTTAATGGTTAAATTTGTTTTTTCTTTCTTAAGATGATGATGATGATAACTGGTCAATTATTAATTTGATTATGCCGTTGATTAAAATTTTTAAAAGTATATGCCTTGCTTGGGGTGAGTAGTGAAGCTATAGCCAGTTGACAAGTAATGGCTACTTCTTTTGGCGGCCAAGCTAATCTCGAAATAATTCCTCTTCTCTTCTTGTCTCACACACACATAATTCTCGATGCCAAGACTTAAATATGTGATTATAAAATTGTGATACTACCTGTACTACACTCAAAAATATTCTCCATAGTAATATAGTAGTTATTAGTAACATGTTATCAGTGAATAATAGAGTTGTTGAGAACCAGTTCTCTAGAGTTGAATGAGTAAATTAAAGTTGGATATCAATCCATCTCTAATGAACTCATCATTTTATATTAATTTTGAAAGATTTAGACTGTCATAAAATTATTTTCTAGTATTCAGTCACCGATTAACTGTAAACAAATACCAGCAGAAATCACTCATCCCGTTAATTTTAAGCTAATAACTGGAAAGATTAATTATTTGTAACACTTTGGTAGAAGTATATGAATTATGAAACTTTTTTCAAATTTATAGATTTGTTGCCACCGAGTTAGTGATATACTACAAAATCCTATAGGATAATATAACTAATTGAAAATATTATTAGCTAATCAAAGGTTAATAACGGTTTGATCAATTAATTGAGTGAACAAAAATTAAAAATAACAATGTTTCTTAGAAAGAGGGGCATGCACAAGGAGTGATATTATATATTGTTATAATTTAATAGTATAACTATGACCATGTTTGATAATTGTGTGTATAATTGTGGGTTGGCTCAACTGCACAAGAACTGCTCATATCCAAAATTTGTTGCCTTTGACTTTCCAATTAACTAAGATAATTAATTAATCAACTAGTTAAATTCAGTGTACATAAATCCACGATGATTAGGAGAATTATGATACATGTCTTTATAAGTGGAAGCGTATTTCAAAGTTAAGTCAAATATGCATTTTAGTGGGATATATATAACATTGGATTCAAATCTTAGATGTAATTTTTGGTGATAGTCTTAGACAGTGTCTCAGATCAACCGGAGTTTGTCGGTCTTCTCGAAGCTTTGAAACAGCTCAACTTCAACATTCTCTTGGTACAACAACAACATGACGATGATAAAGAGAAATTTGATCATGATATCCCTACCGAGAGTTTCGATTGGCTTTGGACAAGCATTTTGCATGGCGGAAGTTCTCAAGGCGTTAACCGCAGCAGCACTTGCGAAGGAGATGGTGCTCATGCTGATGATGATACTTTCAAACCTCTTCCCAGGGAAACTGTATCTCTTCTCTTTAAGAGAAAAGCTCTTGACCAAGTGGAAGAAGCTCTTGACCAAGATAAAGAAGCTTTTGAATCTCTCACAAGTGTTCAACTTGAATTATATGATGACGGTTCAAAAGAAGTTGAACCTGAGATCGAAACTCTTGCAAAAGCTCTTTTTGGAGCTATTGAACTTAAAAGATATTGAACACGGTACTTCAAAAGCTTTTGAATTTCTTTTTAAGAAAGCTTTTGCCGAGGAACCCATGAAGAAAGCTCGTGCCAAGAAGAAAGCTCGTGTTAAAAGTTTTGCGCAAGTATCTCATGCAAAAGAGGTTCAATTAGAATAAAAGATGTATATTAATTTAAAATCAGAGAAACTAAAAGATAAAAGAGGTATATTAATTTAGAATCTGCCGCAAGAAACTAAAAGATAAAGAGGTATATTACATCTTTTAGAATTTGCCGCAAGAAACTAAAAGATAAAAGAGGTTCAAGGCCTTGAAATTTTAATTAATATACTTCTTTTATCTTTTAGTTTTGCTCAAGTATCTCATGCAAAAGAGGTTCAAAAGGATAAAAGAGATTAAAGGCCTTGGAATTTTAATTAGGCCTAGAAAATTCTAAAAGATGTAATAATTTAAAATCAGAGAAAGTATTTGTTTATTCTTACCTTCTTTTTTTCCTTTATATTTCCTTTGTTTTTTTCAGTTTATTGTTTTTTTTTCTTTTTTTTTTCCTTTGTTTTTTTCAGTTTATCTCAAGGCTTGAAATTAAACTATGTCGTTATGACATCTAATGGTGACTTTGCAACCCGTGCGCGGAATTATAGTCTCGGGGTCATTATGTGATAACGCTGTGAATCTGACCTATATTAACAAAACACTCAAGACATGTGGAAACGATTGTTGTGTATTGAAAGACCTAGTAAGGGGACGTTTGTTGACACCACCACCAGCAAGGTAAATCATGAATTGGATTCTGATTACCCACTTTTGATTATCCATTTATTTATTGTTGGTGTTTTTGCTTTTCAGTACTTGGGATCGGTCGCAGTGGCCACAAAGATGATTTCTTATGAATTTTGTATTTTGTCAAAACTCTTCCCATCTTGGTTGTATACTTCATCTGCAACTGAAATGCTGATACTAGCTTAAACAAGGAAGAGAGAAGATCATGAAATCAACTTCTGTGATGATCTCATGTATAAGGTGTTTTGCTCTGTTCTTAGAGGTATTAGAGTGGGTACAAAGATTAAAATCAAGTCATGGCATCAACAACTAGCAACACTTCTGTGGGATTCAAAACTTTCTTCACGTCTTTTAATTCATCCATCATCCCACAATATAATACATTACATTTCTCCGCTCAAATTATAGAATGACACTAACATAAGAAGTCCAAATAACCATACATACAAATGTCTAAGTAAACCTTGCTTGGCCACTACTTCAAGTAGATTTAGTTTATTCATCAAATGTCTAAGTAAATTGCATCCAAATGTTTGTTATTATCTAGTAGTACCAAGACATTGGAATTATTATAGTGATGAAATGGAAAAGTTTTCATGAGTGAATGAGTGATTAAATTTAACAAATACCAATTAAATTTGAATTGATCCATAAGACAAACATAACAAACTTAACCAAATAAAGAGAAAATTAATTTAAATTATAGAAACAAACAAACAAGAGGGAGAGAACACAAGTGGTTCCAGGCTTGCAAACCAAAACTTCTAGAAAGGAATCCTTCACCAAAAGTTATTTGGACTTTGCTTCTTTTCTCTCCCTTTCTCTTACCTTTCATTACATTTATACTCTCTCTATGTATATAAACAAATGCAGTCACAAATTTATATATACTCAAGACTCTTTGGTACTTCTCTCCATAAATACATCTCTCTTGTGTTCTTGTAACAGAGCCAAATAAATAAAAAACGGACGACCATGACAAGTGTTCATGAGGAGACGCGTCTAGTACTCCTCGTCAAGAGCAAACGCACCAAACGTCAGCGATATGCGTCTCCTCATATGAACACAGAAGCAGTGTCTGGCGTTTGCAGCGAGGAGCGATCACTGGAAGCAAGAGAAGAAGGAGCTGGTGAAGTTGAATTCAGGGGAGTTACGGACCAAGACCAAGACATGGCGAATTGCCTGATGTTATTGTCACAAGGACTTAAAGCAAAGGGTAGTAGTAATAATCATTCACCTACGAATAAAAGTGATTTCTTGAGGTACAAGAAACCAGTGGCTTCTCTAGGTTTAGGGCTAGAGGGTGTTTACCAATGCAAAACGTGTGACAAAATCTTCCACTCGTTTCAAGCGCTAGGAGGGCACAGAGCTAGCCATAAGAAGCCCAAACTCGGAGAAATCTTTCTCAAATGCCACGAGAAGAATTCTTCATCAGCAACTGAAACGGTGGAAGCTGCAGGAGTTGTAGGAAGCTTTCTTTCTCTGCAAGTAACTAGTAATGATGTTAACAAGAAACTTGAAAAAACACATGAATGTTCGATCTGCAAGGCCGAGTTTTCTTCAGGACAAGCCTTAGGAGGTCATATGAGGAGACATAGAGGTTTAATAGTAAACGCAAACGCTACTTCAAGTCATCATCAAGAATCTATACGGGCAAAGAACTTTCTGGAGTTGGATCTGAATCTTCCAGCGCCAGAAGATGAATCCAAGTTCGTGTTTGCGTCCAAAGATCAGATTCTTCTCTTCACTTCCGCGTCAAATTCTTTAATTAATTGTCATCATTGATTAAGTAGTTCTTGTAATAACATTCTTACTTTGATATGTTAATCATGACCATTACTATTCATTTGCTTCATAATTAGCACATTTCTAACTATCATCAATTGAAAAAAGTAGGAGTATATAATAATATGTAATACTTGACTTTGGGAGAATGATTAAAGATGCTGATGAGGTTTGTTCCTTGGAGAGTGGAAGAAGCATGTGCCGATGACTTTCTTATAAAGTCACTTCGTTTGTTAGCCGCCACTAAAACCCTTTCTACACACTTCACTTCCGTATAGTGACGCCTGACCTTCTTTATCAGGCTGCAGCAAATAGTCATTAGCAGAGGGTGATTAATTAAGATTGAGATCGTTACTATGTTGTTACTTAGGACGAGTAGGAAATTTCATTGATGGTTGTGATCTTTATGTGTAGTTTTCTCCATATACAATGATCTTCTTGATACGGAAGACTATGTTAGTCAAAAACAATGTTAGGATTTTGAACTTTGTGAAGAATCAAACTATAGTATTGTGTATATAAACTTACTTAACAGTTCATAGAAGAATCAAACTTATTCACTCTACTATATGATCTTATTACAAATCTCATTTCAGAAGCAAAAGAAGAACAACAGGAGTCACACAAATTTACAGAGGAGGAACTAATCATTATGTTACACACAGAAGAGGCAACCTCAGAGAGAAGAATCAGATTAAGATTGCAATACACAAAAGAACCATTCAAGTTTTTTATATGAACATGGATTTTAGTCTCATTAGCTGCAACATCCAGTTTGAGGAGTAGTCTGGTGTTCTGTTTTCTGCTTCAAGATGTTTCTCTTCACTGCACTTGATCCTTCTTCCAACAGACTAGGTACCTCCATTATCTGTCTCATTCACAAAAAATTCATGTGTTATATTATATAGATCCCTACTCCTTTGGATCGTTTCTTATACCATCTTACCTTCAATGCCAGCTCTTCGAAACACTGCTCTACGTTTTGTCGAGTTCTAGCACTACATTCAAGAAACATACACTTGAGTTCTTTCGCTAGAGCAATCCCTTCTTCTCTGCTAACTCCTCTCTCAGATTCCTGTAATCAATCATATATGTTTCATCAAATAACCAAACCGAGAACATGGGGTTGTCTAGTTTAGGTTGCAAACTCACTCTATCAACTTTGTTGCCAACGAGCATCCTAACGCATTCTTGGTTAGTGGAATAAAGCTCAATCTCTTTACCCCACACATCTACTAAGTTTGTAAATGTCTCTCTTCTCGTCACATCATACACTGACATTCACCAAGAAACATTAACTAAAACAGTTCACAGACAAAGGGAGATAGATCTCTTTAGTCTCGTGTAAATGATTGATATGATGATGGGACATTACCGAGAATGATTCCTTGGGCGCCTCTGTAGTAAGAGCTTGTCAGTGTTCTAAACCGTTCCTGTCCAGCTACAAAACAAGAAACATTAGTTTCCTTCAATAAACTTTTTAAAATGTCAGTAAAGAATCATCACACCTGTGTCCCAGATTGTGAGTTTCAGTCTTTTCCCTCCTACTGTCAATTGTTTGATCTTGAAATCAACACCTAATAAGAGACCACAAAACAGATTTTCCATAAACCAAACAAAACTAAGAGACCACACTGCCAGATTATTACAAGTTCAAAGAACTCATTCTTCAGAGAGATTATTACGATCATAAAACAGAGAACTTTCAACACAAAGCAGACAGATGATGTTCATAAAAAAAACTCCTTCAGACAATAGAAACTACTGTTTGATCAAACAACACATAAAGGTAACATCTTTTCTCGGTTAAGAATCAAAGAGAGACAATACAAGTTTTCTCAGAAAATTAAAAATTACCGATGGTAGGAGCAAGATCTTCAGTGGTGTTAGAAATGAAGCTGACAAGCAAACTGCTTTTACCAACTCCAGAATCTCCAATCAACAATATCTTAAACGACAGATCGTATCCACTTTGCCCTGAAGACGATCCCATTTCTCTACACACAAAAAAAAAACAATATTTTCTTGATCTCTCTCTCTCTCACTCAGATAACCCCACGAGAAGATCAAATCAATTCCAACTTAATCAACAACTAATAAAAAGGAGATTTCTTTATTACAAAAAAATACGAATCTTTATGTGTAGCTGTCTGTAATGCTAATGATGATGATGATTACATCTATCTGCACTCTGCTTTCCTCAATTTTTTTATAAGTAAAGAAGAAATAAAGGCAGAATTTTTATTGCCTGATGCAAACGAAACTGAATTTAAAAAATAAAAATGTGATAGGAAGATTTTATTCGAAGAAGACAAGGAACACGCCTGACAGTAACCTCTGGTCTTTTGCTTTCTCTCCCGTCACTTTACTTCACACAAACGTCTCTGTTTTGGTGGTGGTTTCAAGTTTTCGTCCAGTTTCTTTTTTATGTCGACGTGTTGCATTTCGGACTCGCGACTGCGTTTGTTATTGAGATATTAGGTGGCAAAACAGTTGGTTTTGGCGGGTTGTACTAAAACGCAAATTGAGCATTATTAGGGAAGACTAGAAAGTAGTATATTGTAACGTATAAAACTACAATGATTAGAAGTTTAGTCACCGATGGAACCAATTATTTCGTGTAAGCACCTTTTAAGTAGGGTTATTATTTCTTCCTAAATACTTTGATTATTAAACTAATTATTTTCCCAAGTTGACCAAAGTCGTTTTATTATACTTTTATTTATAGAGTCGGCTATCAGTAATCAGTGGTTGTGGGAGCCAAACATGGCCTTCCTATGCTGTCAGCTGAGTCCCTGCAAAACCCACCTTCCACCGATACAATATTGTTCACCAACTGTTATTGAAAAATTCTCAGAGAATTTTTCAAGTAATTTAGAATTATGGAAGTAATTTTTCTCTAATAATAAATATCGAATAAAATGAGAGAGTGGTGTCCAGGGTATTAGGAACACAATGAGTGAAAGAAAAGACATGAAAGGTAAAGGTATCTTAAAAACCTTTGAATGGTTTATAACCTCTTTTCTCTTGTTTTCCTTTGAATTTTAAATATTTATCAATTGTATGTTTATGTGTATGTGTGTTTGGTGTTATTTCAATTCATTGGAGGATAGAACTGGTTTGTCGAATTTAACCCACCAAAGTGCCTAGTTGTTGAAGAAGTTGAGTAAATATCATCTTGAACTTTAACAATCCTCCACATGCCCACATTTTCTCCTCATTTACTCGTTTCTGCTAACAAAATATGTTATAAAACATAGTGATCTAGATCATTTTGTTCGAGTCCGATTTTTATTCGACTTTGATGTCTTTTCAGGATTGATAAATATATATATATATATATATATATATATTAAAAAAATGTTATAAAACTTCTGTAATTCATTTTTCTTATATACTTTTGTCGGTTTCGTAAGCTACAAATCATAAATAGTGTTCACATATTTTATTTCGATTTGGAGCCCTCTATTATTATCTGAGAGCTCGGCCGTAATATTTAATGGGCTGTTTTAATATTGGGCCCTGGCCATTAACTTAGTGGGCCAAGATTCTTAATTAGATATCCATCTGCTTTACAAAACGCGCGTAACGTGCAAGCTTGAGAAAATTACTATTTTTTTTTTTAATTTACTATATTTTCTTAAATAAAATATGAAAAAAACACGAGTCGTCTCTCTTTCTTTCGTCTCTTCAACTTCGCTAATCGACGGCGAAGAAGAAAAGTAAGTTTCATCAGTTTTTTTTTTCAGGATTTGGTGCCTATGGCCATTGATAACGGAATGGATCTGCTAAGCCAAAGAGCTTTGTCGATGAGAGAGTCTCTTCAGAAGAGTCAAACTATAACCGACAATGTTGTTTCGATCCTCGGCTCCTTCGATAGCCGTCTCTCTGCTCTTGAATCCGCCATGCGTCCCACTCAGGTAACACCGTATCTATCTTATCCCTATCCATCCAGATCTGGATTTTAAACTTCTCGAGTAACTTTCGCTGACTTGATCGGGATTTTTGGTTGACTGTGTGTGTTTTGGAAAATCTCAGATTAGAACGCATGCGATTAGGAAAGCTCACGAGAATATTGATAAGACTCTCAAATCTGCTGAGCTTATCATCGCTCAGTTTGATCTCCTCCGTCAGGTTTGTTTCTTTCGTATTGAGATTTCAATTATTCATTTGTAATTAGGATCGTTTGATTTAGATAAGATTTATCTTGAGTTTGAGCTTGAGATTGAGCAGGGATTAGATTTGTGTTTAGCTTATTGTATAGTCTTATTATACATGTCGATCTCATTATATGACATCTTATTGTATAGTCTCATTATACACTCAAATCACATCTTATGTGTTTACTAAGTATAGTTCAATGCAATAGCTTTTGTAGACTGTTAACTCCGAAGCGAGGCCTATGTATGGATTTTAGATTCTTATAAGCCTAAGTGAATAGTCCTACTTCTGAGTTTACATGTCTATATCATTATATTGACCCGTGGATATTAAGGTTTAGCTTGCTATTTTTTTTTACTTGAAAGTTGAAACCGATTTTTTTATTTTGCTCTCAATTCATTTCTAGGCAGAGACTAAAGTACTCAAGGGGCCGCATGAGGACCTGGAAAGTTATTTGGAGGCTATAGCTCAACTTAGAAAAGTTATTCGGTATTTTAGCAGCAACAAAAGCTTTAAGAACAGTGATGGAGTCCTTAACCATGCAAATAGCTTGCTTGGGAAAGCTCAGTCGAAGCTGGAGGATGAGTTTAAACAATTGCTAGTTTCTTACAGGTTTGTGCTTCTCTACCTAAACAGGGTTTCTAGAACGCATTGTTGTGTGTCTTACTATATATATGCATATGTAGCACTAGCACCTTAGTCGAGAAAAAAAGAAGTATATGTAGCACTTTATATTTAGGCTAAATTTCATGGTTCGGTTCCCCTTTCAAATTTTATGCTACTGCATGCTATATCCATGATTCCTACCCTTTGACTCTGGGAACATTGCTAGTTGTGGATTTTTGCTACTTCTTTTCCCTCCTTGCAAATAACCAAGATTATTTTTGAACGAGCATAAAATCAGTATCTTTAAACATTTTCTTTCCTGGATTATCGGAGTTGTCAAGTGTCTTTTTCAAATCACCTGCATTCGTTTTCTCCTCATTAGCCTTTCTTTTTTATCTTTGATATAATCAGCAAAGCTGTGGAGCCTGATCGCCTTTTTGATGGCCTTCCAAACTCGCTGAGACCATCCGCAGACGGTGAGGGTAATGGAAAATCCCACGGAGGACACCACAACGATGACTCTGAAACTGCTGCTTATACACTTCCAATCCTCATTCCATCAAGGGTATTGCCACTTTTGCATGATTTGGCTCAGCAAATGGTTCAAGCTGGTCACCAGCAACTGCTGCTACAAATTTATAGGTGAATTGATTCTTGGCCATTCATCCCTTATATTATACAATCCGTTGTCAAACTTTGCTCTGTTACAATTTTGATATCCTTCTGTTCAATCTTTTATGTTTTTCTCAGAGAAACACGTACTTTTGTATTGGAAGAGAGCTTAAGGAAATTGGGAGTTGAAAAGCTTAGCAAAGAGGATGTTCAGAGGATGCAGTGGGAAGTTTTGGAGGCCAAAATTGGGAATTGGATCCATTTCATGCGCATTGCTGTAAGAATGCTGTTTAAGATTTGCAATATTTGTAACATGTTATGTAGGATCATGTTATGTAGGATCCTAACTCAAGATACTCTCAACAGGTTAAATTACTCTTTGCTGGAGAAAGGCAAGTATGTGACCAGATATTCCGAGGCTTCGATTCTCTTAGTGATCAGTGTTTTGCAGAAGTTACAGTGAGCAGTGTTTCAATGCTACTTAGCTTTGGGGATGCCATAGCTAGGAGCAAGAGATCTCCAGAAAAGTTGTTTGTACTCTTAGACATGTATGAGATAATGCGGGAGCTTCATACAGAGGTAATATCTTTCTCACTTAAGTAGAGCTATATACGGAAGAATTTTCTGGTGAATGGAAATATTATTATGTAGCTTCAGCTTTTGGTGGATTTTCTGATTTGTATTCTAGTTTTCTGTTCTCTGAGTTTTCGGTACATACTTGATTAACCTCTGAAACTCTATCTGAATCATATAAGCTAGTGAGGTGAAATATTGGAACAGAGGATGATACACTTGGAAATATTAGAATACAGGATGACTCGCATTTAATTATTTACAATAGTTAAGACATAATAGTTCAGTTTGCATATTGTAAGTAGTTCTACACTCACTTTGTAGAGATATTCGAGGAGTAAGATTTTGGAAATTGATGGTCTTTAACGTTATTCTTCCAACCTGGTTTCCAGTAAATCATTTAATGCTTGTAATAGTCCAGCTGAACCCCACGATAATAAACAGTGTATCAGGCAGAGAAAAAAAATTGTAGACGTATGTGGTTGAAGCTCGCTGTCTGAATGTGTGACTTATATGATGACCAGCTGGTTTTTCTGCTACATCGTAAAAATGTGGATAAACTTAGGTGTCGCTATAATCTCATGAAACTTGTGTCCATTGACAGATTGAGACAATTTTCAAAGGTAAAGCATGCCTTGAAATTAGGAACTCTGCTACGGGGTTGACAAAGCGGTTGGCGCAGACTGCTCAGGAAACATTTGGTGACTTCGAAGAAGCTGTAGAAAAAGATGCTACAAAGACTGCTGTTCTAGATGGGACTGTCCACCCACTAACAAGCTATGTCATCAATTATGTCAAGTTCTTATTCGAGTAAGTTCTCCTTCATCCTGCTATTTGCATATTGTTTCTTTCCAAACTTGTATTAACGACCACTGATGATCGTTGGTGTCAGCTACCAAGCGACTTTGAAGCAACTTTTCTCGGAATTCGGAAACGGAGATGACTCGAACTCTCAGCTTGCATCCGTGACAATGCGTATAATGCAGGCGCTTCAAAACAACTTGGAGGGTAAATCGAAACAGTACAAAGATCCTGCATTGACACACTTGTTCTTGATGAACAACATTCATTACATGGTTAGATCTGTGCGCAGGTGGGTTCAGTTTGGCGTTTGAAGACTGATCAGGGTTTATATAAACGTATTCAGTTGGTTTTATTGATATTAAAAATGTTTTCAGGTCAGAAGCCAAGGATTTGTTAGGTGATGATTGGGTTCAAAGGCATAGGCGTATCGTTCAGCAACATGCAAACCTATACAAAAGGACTGCTTGGACTAAGGTTCGACCTATGTTTCTAACTCCATTCATAATATAGGTTTACTAAGAAACTAGGGATTAAATGAAGCTGATATATATTTTTGTAGATATTACAAACCTCATCAGCGCAAGGGTTGACCTCATCCGGAGGAGGAAGTGTAGAGGGAGGAAACAGCAGCGGAGTTTCAAGAGGGTTATTGAAAGAGAGGTAAGTCTCTTCAACTACTGAAACAAAAATGAAATTATATATTAATTATATTAGGAAAGTGATGTTTATATATATATATATATTCGATGAGTTGCAGGTTCAAGATGTTCAATATGCAATTTGATGAGTTGCATCAGAGACAATCACAATGGACAGTTCCAGACACAGAGCTAAGAGAGTCACTAAGACTTGCTGTTGCTGAAGTATTATTGCCTGCTTATAGATCCTTCCTCAAACGCTTTGGGTAAAATCTCCTTACCTGCAAAAGCTTTCTTAACATATTATTAACATCAAAATGTGAAACCCTAAAGAGATTTGAATTGATGATTCGTTGCAGGCCTCTGGTTGAGAGTGGTAAGAATTCTCAGAGATACATAAAGTATACAGCTGAAGATCTTGAGAGATTGTTGGGTGAGTTGTTTGAAGGAAAGTCTATGAACGAACCACGACGGTAAAAGCAAACAACTAAAGCTAATTGTTGTAAGGTAAATCTCTGTCCAAACCATTGTATATGGATTGTCGAGTTTTCTGGTTTGTTTGTATTTTTTTTTTTCGCATAATGGTTTGTTTAGTAACTGATGAGTGTAAATTACTTGGAAACGTTGTTGTTTCTCTTTTGTATACGTTCACATTTTGAAATAATCTTGGCCTACTAGATATCTCTATTATTTCCTGTATTTAATAAAAAAAAGTTGGCACTAAACAGTAAAACACCTTTCAAATTGTCCCATAAGGCGATAACTAATACTTGTAGAAATTTGGTTAAAAGAAAACATAAGAAATATTCAAAAACTCATGTGAAAGAACTCAAATATTTGTTTAACAATAAATATACTGACCATGACATTGTTCTTGAATCGGAGAATACAATAGAGCTAGGTCGACGTCGACATCCATAGTCCATACTCAACAAAAATAGGAGAAAGGGGTTTATATGTTAGTAAAATAATGAGTGGGTGGTGAGAGGTGTTTGTTGTTTTAAACACATGTTTGGTAATAAGTAATAACATATCTTTTTATTAAGTTTGGTAATGGCATATTCCATTTAGAAGATCCGAATTCTCCCAACATCATTACATAGACTTTCCATTTACATCATCTCCTTCAACTTTTTACAATATATTAATTTGATTTCTTTATTGTCATCTTTACACCAGTGACAGTAGATACTTTTATTCCCCCTTTACACCAATAATCAATACAACATCTTTTTCCAATGTTTCATTTTATATTCACTTAAAATAACTTAAAGAGCCGTATATTTTGAACTCATATACAGCTCTACATATAAATGCAAATGCATTTTTCCATAAATAGTTTTAATGTCTGTTTACTTTACAGTAATATATAAATTAGACGTTAGTTTTGCATTAATTTATTTACGTATACAGTTTAGGAAAGACAAAATACAATCTATTTTCAACCGACACGCGGTACTGTGGTTACACTGAGCTGATTAATTATTACAGAAAAAGAGTATTTTTAAGGAAAAAGTGGAAAGAACACTATGGCTTATGTAATGGGTATTTTCAATCTCTCTTTTAATGTGTCTCCAAGACCAAAGACAAAGAGAGAAGCCATAAAAACCCTAACAACATCCATTGTTGAAACTCTCTTTCGCACAACACCCATATGGCCATCCCCTAAAGAAATGAAGAAGAAGAATCCTCGAATTCAGTCAGAAGATCTAACCATAAAGGGTTGTGAGAGGTTCAGATTTTCTTTAGGGGATGGCCAAAAACATAAGAGTACTCACACAAAAGGTAAAAAGAAAGAAGAAGAGATCTCTTGGAGATTTTGATTATGAATTGTGTTTTACGTGTGGGTGTTGTCTGAATGACAATCATCATCATAATCATTATCATCGTCGTTATGGTGATGATTATGATGTGGATTGTGTGTGAATGGAATGATGAAGATTGCAAGAAGGTTGATGAAGACAAGCTTGGTTTTGTCTTTTGTTATCTCCCTCGTTAGGGCAACTTCGATCCTTTGGCAAGCTTCGGTTCCCCTCGGAATCAGCAGATTATTACTATCTTACTCTATTTTGCGTTTGTGCTTTGTTTAGTTTGCTTCCAGTTTGGTTTTGTTTAGTGTGTTTTAATTTCCCTATGTTTGTGTTTGAACGTGTGTATGGTGTTCTAATCCCATGTGATGCACCACTCAGGTGTGTTTCTATCTGTGTGAGGAATAAAAGAATATTCGGTTTCTTATATTTCTTTTAACGGAAAGATTTACTTACTAAAAATTAGTTATTGATCTTTTAGAGTTTTTTTGGTCTTAAGGATCAGCGAAACAAGCTAAAGACAGTTTTTTTTTTTTTTTTGATCAAACAAGCTAAAGACAGTTTAGATTATGTTTTGAACTAGGAGTTTGTGGAAGCACAACACGAAATTTTAACAAGAATCCTAAATCACGAGTGAGAAATAGCTATAGTTTTTTCAACTTGTCTCCTCCTTGTTCAACTCTTTTTTTTTGTTATTTAAAAAAAATATAAATATCATTTCATGGAAATCAAATTGAGGTTTAATTAACAAATGTAGGACTTATGAAGTTGGTTCTATGGCCAAAAAATGTAGGATAGAAATTTTTATCCGTTCAGCTTGGTACAACAAAGATAAAATCAAGCAAAAATATCATCGACCACCAAGTATATACAAACACAAGGCAACTAAAGACTAGGCACAACTAGAGACAGAAGACGTTCGTTGGCTCGCCAATATACAACGGCGGAGATAAGCTTCCTAACAAATCACATCAAATAATTTATATATAAATCCCAAAACAGAGTTTTTAACGGAACACGTTCGGAAAACACCACCCATGCAACAGCTTTTCTTCTTCTTTAGGTTTCAAGTGTTAGTTATGTTGACTATTTAGCTCCTCTTGCCAATTCAAAAAAGTCTAGCATTCTTCTCTCTTGGCCAGAATTTTCTTTCTCTTCATTTCTCCTCTCTTGGCTAGTGGTGTTGATTTAAGTAAGAATAGCCTTTCAGCTCGCTCTTGCAATGTCCCTCCACATTTCAGTCCCCTTGACTGAAGCTCAATCTTCAATCTTTCCATCCCCAAAACCTAAAACACACAACAAAGGATAAGATTGATCAAAATTATGATAGATGGCGGGTGAATTGATCCACACCAAACCGAGACAATTATTTATTATTAGAGTTTCTGAATAAAAAAAATTAAATACATCCACATTTTTTGCTGAATCGAAGTGATTTAATAGACTTGTCCAAAGCCAAATCGAGCTTACAAAACCAATTAGGTATTCCGATGCGCTTTCCATTTAATGTTGTACTAAGATTACATTGTAACCTCTCTCTTTTAATTCGAAAAGAGTATCCACAAACTCGGTGTAGGCAAAAGTAGTGACAAACTCCTTGTCTTCCAAAGAGAGGATTTATCACCAAATTTAGTCCAGTCTCATAATTGTCCAATGCCCATATAAGAATTTTCCCACATCATCTTATAAACTCTAGCAGTTTTATCCCATGCACCACGATGGGAGGAGGCTATTAACAGGTTGGTGACTGAAATACGATTCTGAAGCCAAAACTAATCACCCATGATAACTAGCCTTCTTCTTTTACCATCTTTTTCTTTACATTTTTAAATTTCAGCCACGTCTTTTATTATCAAACACTATTATGACCCACGTTAATATGTATATGGACTGAGTGATTGTCCAAAGTGTATCAATATAGTTCAGTTTTTTTAAAAAATACTAGATTCTGACTCGTCCTTTTAAAAGGCGGATATATTTTTTGTTTTAATTTTTTGATAATTTAATATAACTCTAATTGTTTTTCTCACATTATATCACTATACCATGATATTAGTTTTGTTATAAAAAATATATATATAGTTAAAATGTTGTTTGATAATAATGTAGATTAATCTTACCTAATTAAAATTCATTTAGCCAATCAATTTTTATCAAAATGTGTTTAAAAAGCAATAAAAATCAAATGGCCCAATATAACAAACTATATGTAACCAACCATTTAATTTTATAAAAACAAACCGTGGCCCAAGGCCCAATTTCAATCATCAACCGACAAAAAAAGAAACTAAATCCAAAAAATAATTTTTCTAAAATTCGTAACTGTTTTTCAAGTAAAAATAAAACGTGGAGTGTTTAAATATAATTAAATAATTAGGCCTAACATGTATCAATGGGACATGATCCTATTTTAATAGACCAGATATACATAAAAAAAAATTAAAACAAAAAGTTATTGGCAATTCAATTCATGTATACGGTAATGAATTTAGATGATAAATTGGCTATCAAAAACTAATATTTTAAAACTATTACAAAGGTTAATTATAAAGACATGATAGACATTATAATGGATCTAAATATGTAAAAATACTAGACGAGGCATGAAGAGATTCATGTCTAAAGTTTTGTCTCAGACCTCAAATGAATATATATTTATATATATATATACCCAAAATGCTAATTAAAAAAAATAACAACTTGAATATATGAATGTCACTTGCATCAAAATCATGCAAAAATAGTGTTTTGACTAATATCAAGCTTCTTGTGTAAGTACTAGTACTATTGGTTTCAGCTAATGCATCATTAAAGTCCGCTTCTCTTCATTGGTTTTTGTAAGTTTGGTAGGTTTTGGTTTGTGCTTGAAAGTTCTAATAAAGTTTTCAAGACAAGTGAATATGTATGATGTATAAGATTTAATTAATATTATTGATGAAATGATAATGTGACATTAGATTTACAAGATAAATGTGCATTGATAGTACATCATAGGCCCCATAATAAACGTCTCGTAGTGTTTTGATGAACAATTTGACAACCCGAGCTATAATGTTATGAGTTTTGTTATGGCTGGAAGAGATGAATAGTTCCAAGGTTTTGATTGATGGAGTTTGAGAAAAGATGAGGAGAGGGTTCATGTCAGCTTTTATAGAATGAGATGAACCGAAAGGGCATCTTGAGGTCAGATTCACCGCGTTTATCACATAATGACCTCGAGACTTTAATTCTGCCACGGGGTTGCAAAGTGACAGTCAGATGTCATAATAACATAGTTCAATTTCAAACCTTGAGATAAACTGGAAAAAAAAACAAAGAAAAAAAACAATAAATTGAAAAAAAAAACAAAGGAAATACAAAGGAAAAAAAAAAAGAAGCTATGAATAAACAAATACTCTCTTCGATTTTAAATTATTACATCTTTTAGAATTTTTCAGGTCTAATTAGTAAAATAATATACCTCTTTTATCTTTTAGTTTCTTGGTGTGTGTAATATCTTGCATCCTTCTCGAATGAAATCGATGTATTGTCGCACAGTTAAGCAGCCGAGATCTCCTTACCCTATAACCTCCTCAACATACTGTTGAGTAAAATCATATTCTTCTTCTTCTGAACCATCTTCCTCTTCACGATCTTCAAAACCCGCCCTAAGACCCTTAACCAAAAAAATTTTAAAACCTTTGACGATGGACACATTATGGTGACAGATTTTGATCAAATCCGGGTCATCCGAGAAACTGTCCGAGACAATCACGATATTTGCTCGGCTGTTATAGGGTTGAGTGCGTACTTCAACTGCCCACATAAGAAGGTTTCCAAGCATTTGATTAGCTCTCGCAGATTTGCAGAGTGGATCATTCCCTCCGGTAGCTATATCAAAACAAAACAGAGAATGGATTATTTATTAGTATACATATAAAAAAAACAAGAACAATAGAACTAGCAATTGTTCGTTCAAAGAAAAAGAAAACAGAAACTTACATCCAGTATATATGAAGAATTCGGCCTTTTCATACTTTTCAAGCATGTCATCACAGACTGGGTCATCCTCGCAGTGGTAGAACACTCTTATCAAACCAACCAATTCCTTGGTTGTCTCAAGAGCTTGGTCTAAATTCGAAACCAGGAAATATGGATTGAAAGAAGCAGCCACTGGTAAATCGAAACCGTCCCAAAAGACGCCTGTCTGACTAACTGTCCCTCCCAAAGAGAAAAAAATAATAATAATAATAAGATCATCGTGACACTAGCCATTAGCCATCTAATCCAGATATTAGATAAACTATCGAGAGAGATCTTACCAAAGTTCAAATAATGGCTGACTAGAACTATTAGAACCTATATTATGTGTCATTTGGTTTATTATTATTTTTTTTGAACAAAAAATGTATTTCATTAATATGCTTTAACGATTACATAGTTAGCTGAATGATTTAACAAGGTAACTGAAGGTGCGCATTTCAAAATCAGAAAACTTGAAGTTTGCCACCTTATTTTGCGAGTTTTCACCACAATGAATTGTGTTGCATCCATCGGCCTCGTACCACAGCAAAATAGTAAGAAAACATAATATATGTTTTCGAATTCGGGTTTCACCTCTTGAATAAATGGTATCTAATGGACGCATCGTTCTCACATTGATCGGCAGAATTACTCTTGATGATCCACTATATAGAGATGATGAGAGGGTTCATGTCAGCTTTTATAGAATGAATCGAGAGGGCATCTTGTGAAGAATCCGATTCTTTTGTTCCAGTAACAACTATGCTTAGCCTTAGACATAAGATTATTTAGATCATAGCTTGTTTTAACTTTGTAGTGTTAATTTACGTCTTATAATAATATTATTGTTGTTTAGATGATGAATATAAATAAAACAGAATGGGTTGTTTTGATTAAACCAAAACAATAACATCCCAAAGTCAACTAAACTGGTTGTAATAATTTTGCTTTTTAAAATGCATACAGAACTTATGTTTGTATGTTATCTATATAAATTAGTTGCACCCTTAGTGCTATGCACAATGGCCAGGCAAGGGCACAAACATTTGACCATCATCAAAAGTGTTTTATTTCAACCAGGAAATCGAATATGAGAGAGGATATGGTCCATAAATTTATAATTTAGCCATGTAAGAATGTGTTTTATGTTTTTCTTACATATGTCTGTAACAATAAGTGAGTGATAAATAATGTGGATAAAACTATTTATTCCGTTTGATTAATTTGAACTGCAATTTCGGTCTGGAGCCCGGAAGTATGTGAGTTCATCATGTATTCAAGTAAGACTTTATTTAAAGAAATGTTAGATAACTAATGATGATGACCACACTAATTTATATAAGAAAGTAGGGATAGCGAATTATATTTTTTTTATTGTGGCCCGTTCCCTTTCTTGACCTTCCTGGATTTCCGAACATTTTAAGCTGTACTAAAACTATAATAATATGCTAAAGAATGATAATATGCTTAAAAAATCAGCCAAGCCTTAAGAAAAGTATCAAGCTTTTTTTGTATCTCATAACTTTTGAATACTCAAGAGAAAAACATTATAGTTTCCTCGAGCGCAGTAATTGTATTAGATAATATTTCTAGACTTGTAGTGATTAAAGACATGCATCATTATTGTCAACTGGAGATGAGCTCCATTATCATCGCCTTTTTTCATAAAAGGAACTTAGTCAATTTCTTAGAAATCTAATACAAATCTACAATCCGAAACTCAAATCTTCAACTTTATTTGCAACGAGACATGGTTATAATCTACTAAACTCAATAAAATTGTGAAAGACACATGTCAACTAATTTGACACGAGAATGATCAGTAGTGACCAACATGTCATGAGACCCCATCGAATTAATCAAAAACATTTATTAAATTTTGTTGTTACATGATACCCACAACCATATGACATGGGACCCTTCTTTGGTTCTTCAAACTACCCAGAAAAAGTTGCAGAATATTTGTCAAAACCAAAACAAAAAGAAAAGAGAGAAGACACATAAGAAGATACAACAGCCTTTCTTGTCTCTCTGTTTTGTTAATTATCCTCACAGGTACTGTCTTACTCTTCTTCATAAATGAATCAAAATGATGACATTAAAGTCTCTTCATCTATTTATTTGTTTCTTTCATAAATTTTCCTGTTTCTGTTCTGAGTTATATGCAATGATACATGCCTAGGGTATATAAAAACACCTATAAAAATCATTAAAATGTCAAAAAGTTGCAAACAATATGAACATGTGTTTAGAGAGACATTAGGGGAACTAGATTTCTCAGATATGTGACTGTTTCATTGGTTGTTAGGTTATGTTCCTTAGTCATTGATCCAAGTCCATTGTTGAAAGAAACTGATAATTTTATTTTATTCAATATTCTATGTTCTGTTCTGTTTTTATGAATATGTGTTTATCTTTTAGAATTAAATTTTCAGTTATGTGTGTGTGCTTTAAGCTGACCTATATGATATGTGAAAATACTCTTCAGGTTTTTGTGGGATCAAAAGATGTTAAATTGCTATGTGACTGAGCTTTAAAGGTTATGGGTTCATTTGCTGGAAAGTGTGAAATCGTTGAAGAGAAAGAAGACCACCAAAACTCGTTTACTTACTCCAGAACCTCACCAACCATTCCACATTCAGGATCAAGCCTCGTCGACGACAAGGACCTGGAGCGACCGGTACTAAAACTAGGTTACAGAGGCTCACTAGAAGATGATATCAACCAACTCTTCGAGTCTATAAGCATTCGAACATCCGGGATGATTCCTTCGTACCAACTTGGTGCAACCACTAGTAGAAACAACAACACTCCTTTACCAAGCAAGAGAGTAGCTGAGATTAAAACAGTCTTTGAACCACCACCAGCGACAACGTTAAAACAGTCTTTGAGAGATTTAAGCGTCACTAAGGCATCGGAAACAGCAGCAGCAGCTAGTAAACGGACTACTAAGCCTAGTAGTAGCATCAGAGCTGGTGAAGAAGGAAAAGCTGTTCTTGTTGAGTTACTCGATGATGAGAGTAGCGTAGCGCAGCAGCTACGCCTTCTTAAGATACATTCTTCGAGCCAAAACTCTCTTACATCATCTTCAAAGCTGTATAACGATGAGATGGTTTTAAAGAAAGACAATGGATGGTCTCTTGATGACGCGGAGTTGAGTATAGCGAAGAGGAGCTTCGGTACATCATCTCCTAAGACAGTGGTTGGGTTAAAGTCAGTTAGAAAAGTGAAGTTGTTGTATGCTAATACACCTACTTCAACCATTGTTAACGGTAAGAGAATGGCTAAGTTAACCAGAACTATTCCACGTGGCGGTTTGGCTAAACCGGCCTTAAGGAGTAAAGATTCCTTGAAGAAGAAGAAAGAGGATACAAATGTGTATGATGAAGTAGATGGATTTTATGATCCCATTGCAAAGGAACTTCTCTGCCATAGATGCCATTTCACTTTGAAGAACACTCCAACTAAAGAAGAGTCTCTTGTAGCAGCAGAGCTTGAGCCGGCGCCGCCGTGTGTTAAAGAAGGATGTTTAGATGAGTTTGCTTCTGATGATTTCTCCAGCTCAAGCTATGAGAGCTCTCATGAGATCAGTGAGACCAAACTTGACAAGATAAGAAGGTCTCTGGAGACCTCTCAGAGTTCACTAGGGTTTGCATTCGAAAGTAAAACCCTAGTGAAACCTGTTGAGGATGATACTCTCACCGGCAAAGAAGTTGATCAGAAAGAGTCTGTCTACATGTCGGAACAGAGTGCGGAGATTGGTTCTTTCAGTGAGAAATCTGTTGTAATGAATCCAGATAGTCCTCCAAACAAACTCACCTCAGCCACTGAAGACGTCGGTGAAAACTCAGAGATCGAAAACAGAGGTGGAGGATACAACAGCTCAAACACCAGCGAGGAAGAACAAGAACAAGAACAAAGCAACAACGATATAATGACAAGATCTAGCTTCGGAAACAGACCACATATGTCAAAGGACGTGAGATGGGAAGCTATTCAGCATATAAGGGCACAACACGGGCTAGGTTCATTGGGACTTAGACATTTCAATCTTCTGAAGAAGCTTGGTTGCGGAGATATAGGAACTGTTTATCTCGCTGAGCTCACTGGAACAAACTGCTTGTTCGCTATCAAAGTGATGGATAATGAGTTCTTGGAGAGAAGGAACAAGATGTCTAGGGCACAAACTGAGAAAGAAATTCTCAAAATGCTTGATCATCCGTTTCTTCCAACATTATACGCTCACTTCGTTTCAGATAACTTGTCGTGTTTGGTCATGGAATGTTGTCCGGGAGGGGACTTGCATGTCCTAAGGCAGAAACAGCCCGGGAGGTGGTTTCCCGAACCAGCTGCTAGGTACGTACATTTTTTTTATCTGTTAATTATGCTATTACAAATTATGAAAAATAAACTCGTGATTCTAGTATAATCCCAATTTGTTTGTTACAGGTTCTATGTTGCGGAGGTACTTCTAGCATTGGAGTATTTACATATGCTAGGAGTTATATACCGCGATTTGAAGCCAGAGAACATTTTGGTACGTGACGATGGACATATTATGGTAACAGATTTTGATCTCTCCTTAAGGTGTAGCGTGAGTCCCACGCTACTAAACTCATCATCTCCACTTCATGGAGATGCCATGATGAGACTCTCTTCCGGTAGCCGCACTGGATCCAGCTGCATCGAGCCATCTTGTTTCCGACCTAGACTCTCCCGCAGTTCCGCCGGGACCAAGAAGAAAGGGAAACAACACCGTGTAATGATGAAGAAGCTAAAAAAATCAGACCTAACCGCACGGTTTAAATCATTACCTCAGCTGGTCGCGGAACCGACAGATGCGAGATCAAACTCTTTTGTCGGAACACACGAGTATCTCGCACCAGAGATCATTAAAGGAGAAGGTCACGGCGCAGCGGTTGACTGGTGGACGTTTGGGATCTTTCTATACGAGTTGCTTTACGGGAAGACACCGTTCAAGGGAGCTAGTAATGAAGAGACGATAGCTAACGTTGTGCGACAGAGCTTGAAGTTTCCAGATAACCCTAACGTGAGTTTCCAAGCTAAGGATCTTATAAAAGGTTTGTTGGTTAAGGAACCTGAGAACCGGTTAGGGACGGAGAAAGGAGCTGCGGAGATAAAACGGCACGCATTTTTCGAAGGTTTGAACTGGGCGTTGATACGGTGTGCGATACCGCCTGAGCTTCCGGATTTTTATGACTATGGGGTTCCGAATCATGAAGGGAAAGGCAATTACTTGGATTGCAAGGCAGTTGGGGAACATCTTGAGTTTGAGTTATTCTAGAAAGGACTGTTCGGTAAAGAGAGTTGCAGAAGCTTCCGTTTGCTTAAGCATCTCTTGTATCGCAGGTTATTTAATCACTTTGCGGGGATTATTAATTTTATTTTGTAATGGTTTTGCTAAACAATGTATTTTGATGGATAACTGATTATGGTCTTTTATATATTTTGAAATTGTTTGACTGGAAGAAAACAGAAAATTATCTTGAATATATAGGATAACAACATATATGTAAGAATATTATCTTGAATATATAGGATAACAACATATATGTAAGAATTTAAAACTACTTGCAGAATGGTTAAAAAAATAATTACGAAATTAATATTTCAAATGCAACTGAAGAAGCAAAATACTACATATAAATTATTTAATTAAATTACTAATCCAAACTATAAATTCACAAGTCACGAAGACTGACTGTTAAAGTGGCATATCCAGTGAAATACAGAAAAGATTAAAAATAAAAATTAACACGTCTCGTTTGATTAGATCACCTTTGATGCACTCACAAGACCCTACACAAAGATCATGATTAAACCCTTCCGTGTACATAAAAATATCAACAAAATGTAAATATCTAATGATTTTATTACGTCGAGGACTAGGTCACAAAGAGAATCGGATAACAATATGTCAACCAATGACAACAATCCATATATTGTTGGAATTGTCAAAGTCCATGTCCAACTCTAGATTCTCCGATTAGTACGATATTGTCCACTTTGGATCTTAGAGGTTGGCCCGCATGGATTTACTTTTGGTTTCCCTTCCAAAAGGTCTCGTACTATTAGAGTTGGACTTCTCTTTATATATTAGACACTCCTTGTCTAATTCTCCAATGTGGGACTTTGTTTATTATCTCACATTCTCCCCCTTAAACTAAGGACCACATTCATCGCATGTGTTTATCCTTCAGCGAATCTTCTTGGCACCACCTTGTACCAGAAATCGCAGGGTTTCCTTTGAGAATGTTTCTCCCACAACATCACAGGTTCCATGATCTTCTGACTAGTTCTGCCACAGACCTTCCTCTTCCTACTCGAAGGGTCCCTTTCCATCTTGAAGGGTATTTTGGTCTTCTTGCATAACTTCGTCGAACCGCTCTGACACCAATTCAAATCTAGATCAAAACTTCAACTTAAGCTCTGATACCAATTCTAATCTCTAGAAACACAAAGGATTATAAGAACAACTTTTCTTATTAGCTTTAGAAACTACTCAAAACTAAAGCTCACAATATGTTTCTCTTAGATCATATGGAACACCTCTCCATAAGACCTATATTTATAGTTGAGACAATTCCCTTTAACATGTGGGATATGGAAAACACAAACCTAATCTAATAGAAAACTTCATTTTCCTATTTCTAGATTTCCTTATTGTGTTTATCTCTTAACATATTAAACATCTAATAATATGTTAAGTTTCCACAAGCTTGGAATTACCCAACATATATAGTGTGGATCATGAAGAGTAATTCTGCCGATCAATGTGAGAACCATGCGTCCATTAGATACCATTTCTTCAAGAGGTGAACCCGAATTTGAAAACATATATTTTGTTTCTTACTATTTTGCTATGGTACGAGACCAGACCGATGGATGCAACACAATTCATGTAGACACCAAATTTACTAGATAGGCAAATTTGATATGTAAAGCAAAAAAAATTACAAATAACATGAATTAAAAATACAATAATATAATATAATACCGTAATGAAAAGGAAATGTACTGAAACAGAGTCGATATTAAGATCTCTTTCCTTAATCCTTTAAACGCCCGTAGTGTGCCGGTTTAATACGTTTAAGAATCCCATGATACAACTGCCTATATCTTCGATCTCACAGCACTTGAGAATCAAAACTTGTCGAACCTAGAATCTATGTTATACTCTCAAACACAAAAAAAAAATTAAGCAAGGGATTATTGTTTTGTTTTCTTGGATGTGTATCCTATAGAATGAAAAGAGCATGGCTTTATATAGCCTTTTCCAAATCATATATTTGACACAATCAAACGTTCAAAATGAAAGTGAAGATTCTCATCATAATTATGTGATATGCATTTAGTTGTAGGTTACAAAATCAGAATCAATTTTGTATTAATTCCCCACTAATTCATGTTGACTTTACCATTATGATTAAAAAAGATATTTTTCATTATATATTTTTAACTTTGTTAACCATAAAGTTCAAAATAAATATTTAGACCAACAAGTCTAATTTCCCTTTTAATTTATAGAACCATTTATTAAATTCCAAATCATAAAATTTATGTATAGTACAAATATCTTTTCTTACATAATTTTTTCCACTTTAAATAAAAGAGGATTTAAACCTCATATTTCTAATATAGATATTTTACAATTAATCTCATATTAGAATTTCATTTCTCATTCAAATAAACTTTGTTTTTTGACATATGATTATACTATATCATAGTACTAGGAATTCAACAATTCTATCCAAAATATTGGTAATGTCATTTTGTCCAAAAAACAGTTTCAACAATTCATTGTGGTGAAAACTCGCAAAATAAGGTGGCAAACTTCAAATTTTCTGATTTTGAAATGCGCACCTTCAGTTACCTTGTTAAATCATTCGGCTAACTATGTAATCGTTAAAGCATATATAAATGAAATACTTTTTTGTTCAGAGAAAATAATAAACCAGAATATAGGTTCTAATAGTTCTAGTCAGCCATTATTTGAACAAGTCACACATAGTTTTAGAAATCGCGCACTTCCAAACGTACGTCTTGTCTTCATTTCTTTTTCTTTGCCCGATATTTTTTTTGGACCGTCTGGATTGATGTTGATTGAAGTAAAAAGAGCCTTGCAGCGGACTCTTGCATCTTTAGTAGATCAAAATCCAATTCATGATTTACCTTGCTGGTGGTGGTGTCAACAAACGTCCTCTAACTAGGTCTTTCAATACGCAACAATCGTTTCCACATGTCTTGGAATGTCCCATGTCTTGAGTGCTTTATTAATATAGGTCAGAAGATTCACCGCGTTATCACATAATGACCTCTAGACTTTAATTCCGCCACGGGGTTGCAAAGTCACAGTCAAATGTCATAATGACATAGTTAAATTTCAAGCCTCGAGATAAACTGAAAAAAAAAACAAAAGAAAAAACAAAGAAAAAATAAAGAAAAAAAAAACAATAAACTGAAAAAAAACAAAGGAAATACAAAGGAAAAAAGAAGAAGGTAAGAATAGACAAATACTCTTTTCGATTTTAAATTATTACATCCTTTAGAATTTTCCAGGCCTAATTAGGAAAATAATATACCTCTTTTATTTTTTAGTTTCTTACGGTGTGTGATATCTTGCATCCTTCTAGAATGAAATCGATGTATTGTCACACAGTTAAGTAGCCGAGATCTCCGTACCCTATAACCTCCTCAACATACTGTTGAGTAAAATCATATTCTTCTTCTTTTGAAGTTTCTTCCTCTTCTGAACCCTCTTCACGATCTTCAAAACCCGCCCTAAGACCCTTAGCCAACAAATTTTTAAAACCTTTAAAATCGTAACTGTCCGTCAAGTTATTCTCGTCATTGTGCTTTACATTGTCGAGAGATCTAGAAACACGAAATAGCCATATCTCCGTTGATTTTTGCCAAGGACAAAAGCTTCATGGAGCAGAGTTCCTGTAGAATCTTGGGTTCAAGCTATATCATAAAGCCTCTGCTCTTCTTTGGTTGGTAGACTAGGGACAACAAAGGCAGCAGTAGTCGTTGAATTTTTTAAAATGACTATAAATTATAAATATGTTAAAATCTCACTTTGGAAATTTTGTGATCAATGACTTAATTTTTTTGTTATAACAAGATAGAAATGATTATAAAATCGCATTAATATAATTTTTATTTAATAAATATTCATATTAAATATATATATATATATATTAATATTGTTTAATTAAACTATATATAATTTAAAAATAAATAAATCTGTTAATTTTTAAATTTTCATTAAAAAGTATTGAGATCTTAGTGTTTTAATTTTGAAATTTTCATAGAAATATCATGTGGTTTACCCACTGCACTACACAATAGAAGAATAAGTTGTGTTCCTTTTTTTTTGGTTCAAACTTCAATTCATAGATTTTACTCTCCATGAATAGAGAGAATGTTCACATGATACGAAAACATAACCATCTTAGCCAAAAAAAAATACTTATTACAAAGAAGCAAATGCAGCATATAAAGATAGGAGTAAACACCATACTTAAACAATTAGTGATGTAAAGAGGTCCTCTAAACTCAACAACCATCAAGCAGAAAAGTGTGTCAAAGGCTTGGGAGTTAAAGACCACAACTAGTGATATGTATTCTGAAATTGAAACAGCAACAAATGCACAATTAACAATTCTTAACATGGCTAAACAGCGTCAAAATATAATATTTGCGGAAAAAGAAATTGAAAATTGGATTGAAAGTAAAAAAAAAGGACGATGGGGAATTGTGAAAATGTGGTGGACCCCACTTAGACTGATCTTTAAGCAATCGCTGGTTCGTCCGTTTCGCAATTCGCAATCACAAAATTACAAAATATAAACGATTAGTAAGAAAGAAACATATAAAGCAAACCCGCCACTCGTTTTCGATTTCGTTTTTCTAACTTGTTCTAGATCTCTCTCAGCTCTCTCTCTCTCTCTAGGAATCCGCCGGAGAAAACGAGAGAGGGGGGGACATGGTGGTGGTGGTTCATGGAGTGTCACTGACTCCAGCTCTTCTCGTCTCCTCAGCTTTCCCTCTTCCTCTCTCTTCTTCTTCAAACTCCACCGTCTCTTTCTTCCTGAAGAAACGCCCTCTCTCTCGTAAGCTCTCTTCGCTTTACTCTCAAACGCCATTGTGATTTGGAGTGAGATCAACTACTAATCAGACTGTTTAGTTTCTGGATTAGGTTAGGATGATATGTTCAAATTGAGTAGAGACAGAAGAAACATTTGTGCTTCTTTTTTTTTTACTCAATTCATTATCATCCAGATACCTTTGATTATTTATTTCCATTGTCTGTAGGGAAGATCTTTGCTGGGAATCAATCTGCTAAGTTTGATTCTAAGTCAAAAGCTATCTCTGCCTCCTCAAAGAAAGTTTTAGTACCTGATAATGTTGATGATGGTGCTTCTTTGGTGACTGATGATGCCCTACTACAAGGTCCCAGC